AAAATTAATGACTAGGGCTAACATAAAATGATTTTGTTGGAAATGCCGTTGCTGACACTGTGCTAAATTGGTTACAGCTGTATAATGTGATGCAGGCGTTACAGTTCAATATATTGCGATATATTGCGATACTGTATACAAGGCAATATGTTGCAAATTTTCAAAATCTAATTTTAGGAAAATATAGTATGAACAAACACCATATGCATAAAATCTAGTACAAGAAATATTCTCACGTTAACAGTGCGCCCTTACGCTACTTGTTTACGCTGGAGTGGAAGAGTCTAATGGCTGAAGATAGAACACTGCCATCTAGTGGTCGCTGGGTTTAAACACAGCACAAAATGAACTGTTGTCTGCCACGAATCTTTCCATGTAAACTATTAATTAAAAATCGACACTGTGTTTTTGAGAATCGATACAGTATTTCAAAATATAATATTGCGATGCTTAAGTGTATCGATATTTTCTTACACCTCTAGTGGCTTTATTTGTGATATTAACTGGTAAAATTATTTAGTAATTTACAAAAGATAACAAAAGAAAGAAATGGAAAAATCAGTAAATTGCACTGTGAGTGGAAAATGAGTGATGAAAAGTGGCGTTTTGTGAGGCGCTTTGCTTAATTTCACCCAGAAAAAGCCAGTGGGCCGCCAGGCTTTGCTGTCAGTGGGCCAACAGTGGTAAACAGCACTTTTGCCATCAGTTAGCCACGACGTGTTTGGTGTCTGAAGTTTGCTGATTTAGTTTTGGGAACTGGAGCTACATGGCTAATATAGAGAGTAATGAAAGCTTGTTCTGCACCAATTAGCATGGTACGCTCAGCTCTCTCTGTAATGAGGCCCTTTTGACCTGGAGCTCTGTGTACAGAGATAATTCAGCTCTAAAGCAAAAAAAATTATTAATGTTAGAAATTCCTAGTATCCCTTGTGAAAACACAGCTTTACTGATGTGGATGAATTGTTTTGGTGTTGAAATGTGTTTACCAAAGTCTCAGGATCACAAAAGTAGCAGAATGAATAAAACAGTAGATAAATGTTCTCCTCATCACTACTTTCCAAACCCGCTGCAGCAGCTTCAGCAGCTGTAAACTCTCTGCACACCATTCGAGTCTCCGATGTGGACTGAATGAAGAATGAAGGGTTTCCGGCGTGATGGTCAGACCTTAGTGATTTCCATTGTCCATTGGTCAGTTTCACACAGAATGTAGATGGACACACCAATCCACCAGCTCCACACAGTGAGAGGCAGATGAGGTGTATCTCAGCCCCTCTTCATAGGCTCATAACTCCGGATGTGAGTGTCGTATGATCTCGTGATAAGATGGAATGGAAAGGACGACTCTACAGATTCAGGAAGTGTTTGAACTGGATTTCTGAGCTGGATCATCACAAAGATATTAATCTAATTTGACGTGCTGCCGTGTTCGTCGACCCCAGAGGGTTAACTACACAAACAAACCCTTTCTTTAGGCTCACATATGAGCGAATAAGAGAAAAGCCATTAATCACAATAAACTACACAAAATATTGCGATTAATTACAATTATTTTAATCACTTGACTGCACTAGTGTAAATGTAAAGTACGTTAGCACAGCTAAGAACAGCAGCTGCAGTCATTTTGAAGCCTGAGTTTAGTACTTTTAACCGCTTTTAGGATCAGAATGCCCCAGTTCCAGCGGTTTCCAGCAGCAGGGCTCTGATTATCATCTCAGTATCACTCTGTATATCGTGTGTGTAAAATGTGAACGTGTGTGTTGCGCAGAGAGCCGAGGCTGCGGAGCGAGAGACGGAGAGTCTGAGAGAGCAGCTCACCAGCCAGCGGCAGGAAACACCTGACAGGGTAAGAGTCCCCAGCTGTTTCCGCTGTACGCTCTTTAAAAGATGGCTAAAGTAAAAGGGGTGGTTCTATATAGAACCACAAACGCTCAAAGAACCATTTGCATACTTAACTGGTTTCTTGGATGGTGAAATGCTTCAGGTGAATGGAGGATGTGTAGTATATGAATCTATCTAGCACCACAAGCTCAACACGACGACAATGGCAGAACCCTTTTCGGTGCTATTATTTAGACCCGTTGTCACAAAGGTTATGTATAGAACCAGATGCATTCTCCATCAAGCTAAAGAACCATTTCACCATGTAAAGAACTATTTAAGCATGCAGAGGGTTATTTAAGTGCTCATGGTTCTATATAGGACCAGTATCTTTACTGAAGAACCCTTGAAGAACCGTCTTTTAAGAGTGTAGAAAGATCTATATAGAGAGGGTGTCCAAAGTTTTGCACATGACTGTATGTATGCAAGCTGATGTAAAACATTTCTCTTTGATCGTATAGAATCCAGCATGTGTAAATGTTTACAAATAGAAAATGTGTTGTTTCATTATGTCCATGATTATAAAAATTATTAATTATTATATTGATAAGGGATGATATATTTATCTATATAGTTCCTATTGATCTATATATATATATGTTGGCTGAGCTGATTTGGTATGATTTTGATATGATCGCACATATCAACCGGATTCTGTATTAATGCCCAAGTTTATTAAAAAAAGGAATCATTATGCAGATACATAAAGCATTGTGTTGCTCAGCAACCGTAGCCCAATGTTAACGAACTACAGTTTGTTAGTATTAGTAAAAATACATGACTAAATGTCGGGTGGAGGGATACATGCAGGGCGCTGTGAGGGAAAATAGTCCCCAAAGAAAACTGATTATTTCAGATTTTCCACTATTTTCCATCATCAACATTCCATATAAACTCAGAAGACTCGTGTAGGTTCACTGGTGGTTCTGGATAGTAAATAAAATGTCTATATTTGTGTTGTAGTCATGGCAACCCCTGGTTCCTATCACCACCACTGTAAAGAAATCTTGAGTCTCTACAGTGAACCATTTCCTTTTGAAAAATGGGTGGAATTCCCCTTTGAGTAGAGGTGAACGATGGGGTCACTAGGTTACAGTGTTGTTGGAGTCACTGTAAGGGCAGTAATACACTCTGTATGTGTGAAGGTGTGTGAGGTCGAGTGTGTATCTGAGGACGTCCAGAAGCTCCAGAATGATCTGACTGAACTCACCGAGTCGACGGCCAATCAGATCAGCCGATTGCAGCAGGAGCTCAGCGCTAAAGAGGAGCAGCTAAAGGTACTGCAGCTACACAGCAGAACCGCATTCACCAAACATCTACTGCTCCACAGAAGCAGCCAGGCTTCACTTTGGGGTCCTCTATTTGTATTTGCATTTGCTAAAAATCATTTTCTCGATGTGTAAAGATCAATAACATTAGAGAGAAAGAATATTTTAAATGCCATCTGAAGATGTTTCACCATACAGAGAACCATTTAAGCATGCAAATTGTTCTTTGTGTGTTCAGGCTTCTATACGGAACCACTGTCTTTACTAAAGAACCTTTAAATAACCATCTTTTTGAGAGTGTATTTTGTGAAAACTGCAAACCTGGCAACTCTGACGGTGGGTGCACATGCCTAAATGGACTCTATAACCAATTATATAACCATTATAACCATATGGACAAAATGCAATTATAGACAACAGAGATCTTAAGCGATCCAGAGTGGAGGGAAAAGTAGGGGACCTGGTCATTTTACAAGGAGGATGGGTTTTATACATTTTTAAAATAATAATAATAATAATAATAATTTCATATTTATATAGCATCTTTCACGAACCGAATGATGCTTTCCAAAGAGATCAGAAAGTGACAAAATACATAACAATAAATAAAAAACACAGAAACACACACACAACTCCGCAGTTCCCACAACTAGCTGGGGGGAATTACAATGACCACTAGAGTCACTTAGCTAGCCTGAAAAGAGTCCTTAGCCCGGGGGGAAAGTATCACTCCACAGCTACGGTGCACCACACGGGCGGCCGGCCCAGGAATCCCCGAAGGCCGAAAATGTCCTTAGCCACGAAGGGGGAGCATTTTCCTGCAGCCGAACACCACCAGTCTAGGCAGCCATGTAGCTGCGATGTAGCGTCAATCAGGTCCCGGTCCAGAGAGCCGCGTAGCCACAGTACAGCATCACTCGAGCGGCTGACCCAGGCTGCCTCATAGCTGTGATGTAGCATCGCTCAGGCAGCCCACCTGAGAGGCCTCGTAGTCATGGCGTAACGCTGCTCATGCAGCCAAACATTAGCGGTCCAGGCAGCCCCACAGCCGCAGTGCAGCGTCAACCAAGCAACCTTCCCAGGCAGCCACATAGCTGCGATGTAGCGTTGATCAGCCCCACGGTCCAGAGAGCCTCGCAGCCGTGATACAGCATCACTTGTGCGGCTGCTCCAGGCTGCATCATAGCTGTGATGTAGCGTCACCCAAGCGGCCAGACCAAGAAGCCTCTGAGCCACGGTTGGAAAATCAATCTCGGCTGCCATCTCAGTGGATATGATGACAAACTCCTCAGCCAGCAGGGAAACATCAAAACACACACACAAACAATACAAAACTAAAACAAATCAAATGAGAAAACGATGTACGTAAAGTACATATCATGGACAACGGAATGAACGCACACACGCACACACACACACACACACACACACACACACGAGAAGGAAGAAGGAAACTTCAGAACTTCAGACACCAAACATGTCTTGACTGGCTACATTTAGGCTGGTGGGGGGCGGAGGGGGGGGGGAGATTGTGTGCCCTTGATTTTCCCCCAAACTACCGCTTTAAGGCTCTTCTCCACCTTTGTGCACAGAGAAACATAAAAATAAACACAAAACTGCCCCAAAAAACGTCACAGTCGCTCATGTAACAGAGTTCGCACCGCCCTGTTAATTTCAGATCTGTGGCTGACCCCCCCCACTGTACTGGGCTCTGCTCTGGTGAGGGTCTGCAGTCTGAGTGGATCAGCCTCACTGTGAGCTCCATCTCCGTTCCGTCTCCTTTCGTCCAGCCTGCCGTCCGTCACGCTCCAAGCGCGCACATAAACATGCCGCTGAAGCCGGTCAGCGCTCACAGGCCTGCGCGCCGTGTAGCACATCACCGCTGAAGTTTTTAAGACCTCAGAGCCACTTAAAGTTGAGAAACTTGCACAAAAGCTGAGTGGAGCTCAGGCCACTGACATGTTCAGACAAAGTCCTGCTTCTTTTAGTCACTGCTGTGTTTCTCAAGCCTGGCTAGCAGCATCTGTCCACTATGGCTGTTTCTCCAGCGGCGTCGGTTCTGCCGGATCAATTTTTTTCTTTTTTTGATTTTTCCCAATTTTTTCTCCCCAATTTAGTCGTATCCAGTTCCACCCACTAGTTAGACTCCCCCAGTCACAGTACCACCAGAGCTAAGAGGGTGAAGGCAAACACAGGCTTCCTCCAAGTCCTATGAAGCTCCACCACATCTTTTCAAACTGACGCTAACGCAGCGTCATTGGACAGATGAACACACTCGGAGGAGACGCTAACCGCCAGATCTGTTACGTCAGCCAACAGACACCTGCGCTGGATAGCATCACGCTGAGATGAGGGGCCATCCTGCCCACCCAGAGAGAGCGAGGACAACTGTGCTGTCTTGGACTCCCAGCCTAAGATGGCTGAGGCATCACCTGGGATCAAACTCGCAGTCTCCTAATGATAGGGCCATCGCTCCTCCTCCATTAGCCGCTGTGCGCTGTGTGAGGGGGCCGAGCTCACCGGTAGGCGGGCAGTAAGGACTGTGTTATGAGATGACGTCATCCTGTAACAAAGGAAAAGGGCTGGAATTCCCACGAGGCGTTTCAGGCAGTTGAGAAAAGTGGGTTCTGTGGGAGAGAGTTTCTCCCTCTGGAGGGAACGCTGAGCTTTGGGACTTTGCAGAACCTTTTCATGCACAGAAAGCTACGACACAGTAAAGGAGAGGGAAAAACCGGAAAAGAATCACAGGCCCCCTCTTATACAGCTCCAGTCATCATTCCTCACACATCTAAAAACGTCACATATACACTCTTAAAAAGATGGTTCTTCATGGGTTCCTTAGCAAAGGCAATGGTTCTATTTAAAACCATGAGCTCTATGTGGAGCCATTTGCTTCATAACTAACTACAAGCTATGCTAATGTACTTTAGTTCATGTTTATAGGTAACAGTGAGTCATACAGTGTCAGAAACCACAGAATCAGGTCTATTAGAGACACTGAACACCTCCTCATGGTTTGAGGCGAGTGAATAGTGATTTAGATGAAGAGTTAGCACCATGCTAATTGGTGGGGTATAAGCTTCCATTAGCCTTGTAGCTCCACTTAAAGCCCTTCTGTGCCTGATAGCACGGAACCCTTTCACAGGATACCGTAATAGAAGTGTGAAATCAAGGCGCTGGCTTGTGTTTGTTACTGCATTGATTCTTATTTGTTTTGTAGCATCTTGAAGAGAAGCTCGAGGCTCAGTCAGACTATGAAGAGCTGAAAAGAGAACTGAGGTGAGTCATAAATCACTTTACTCCACCGCTTTACTGGGTATCTCCAGTTTACTAATCACTGATAATGACACGGTCACAGACGTGGCTGATATGAGATCAGATTTCTGTCACAATATCACAGGATTTTCTACTATCTGGACAATAATAAAACCACGACGCCAGGCATCAATATCACTTTCGATCGTTTTGTTATTTTACGTACCCAGAAGGTCTTCTATCTTCTTCTATCAGTACAGTGTCAAGCTTGTAACAGAGCAGAACTGTTTTTGGTGCTATATAGAACCATATACAACACATTTACCATTCCACCATGAAAAGAACCACTTAAGCATGCAAACACACACACACACACACACACATCATATATATGTATATATATGGATGTGGTGGTGGTGTGTTAGTTTGTGTTGTGCTGGTCTGAGTGGATCAGACACAGCAGTGCTGTTGGAGTTTTTAAACACTGTGTCCACTCACTGTCCACTCTATTAGACACTCCTACCTCGTCAGTCCACCTTGTAGATGTAAAGTCAGAGACGATAGCTCACCTGCTGCTGCACAGTTTGTGTTGGTCATCCTCTTGTCCTTCATCAGTGGTCACACGACGCTGTTGGCTGGATATTTTTGGTTGGTGGACTATTCTCAGTCCAGCAGCGACACTGAGGTGTTTAAAACTCCAGCAGCACTGCTGCGTCTGATCCACTCAGACCAGCGCAACACACACTAACACACCACCGTGGTGTTACAGTGTTACTGCAGTGCTGAGAATGACCCACCACCCAAATAGTACCTGCTCTGTGAGGGTCCATGGGGGTCCTGACCACTGAAGAACAGGGTAAAAGGGGGCTAACAAAGTATGCAGAGAAGTGGACAGTGAGTGTGGAAACACAAATTATTCTAAACTTTTGAATAGTACTGTATATAATAATAATAATAATAATAATAATAATAATGGGACTGAGATGCTGTGATGCTCAGTTCTATACAGACTCTCCTCCCTCTCCTACACAGCTCTGCTGCTTTATTTTCATGGTTCTATATTATGAAATAATCATCAGCCTGCGTTCTTTTTCGGCCTGAATTCGCTCGGTCAGTTCTGCCACAGCTGACGTCTGGTTCTGTCCTTGTGCCAAGCCTGCAGACCATTCGTAACCTTTCGCCGTTCCTCCCGAGGTCCTGTCTGCTTTATTTTCTGACCGGTAGTGGCGGATTGCTCTCTCTACCTGCTGCTGTTTCGCTGGTCAGTTTCTCTGGACGCTTCTGTATCTCTCAGAGGTGTGCTGGACTGAGCAGGACAGAAACTCTTAAACCCACTCTGCTGTAAACGCTCAGGCTGAGATGCTGGGGATCGCTCTTCTGGCCGTGAGTCCGTCTGCTTTAATCAGTTCTGATTATTATTGAGGATTTTTCTCTTGGACTTTTCTTTGGGGGCTGTTTGGGGTTCGGCTTTGTTTCGCTGTGAACTCTACAGCCCTACAGCGTCGGTGGTGTTTAGATTAAACTTGGTTAGCATTGTTTAAAACCCAAACTAGCAAAAAGCTAAAGTTTTGGTTTTATTAAAATACTAAAGTCATTGTTTAGGTAATCGTTAAAGGTTTTACAATATTTGAATCTTCATTGCTTGTTTATGGGAACTCAGTGAGAAAACAGTGAAAAAGGCTAGTAATTCAGTATATTCAAAATAAGCTAATACTTCTGTAGAAATTAGGCTGGTAATTCTGTGAAAATAAGATGTGAAAATTAGTAATTCTGTGAGTAATATTCTACTAATTCTGTGAAAATTAGCCCAGTAAATGTAAAAAATAGGCTAGTAATTCTGTGTAAATTAGGAATTCTGTAAAAGCAGACTAGTAATGCAGCGAAAGTGAACAGCTAAGTGAAAATAGGCTTGTAATTCTGTGTAAATTAGCAAATCTGTGAAAAACACAGGCTAGTTATTAAGTGGTTTTATGTTATAATAATTTTATGAGATCATGCTCATGTTATGCTGCGGTTCATCATGCCTGTGTATTACATGTAATAACTACATATAACAGTGTGTCAGTGTTATTTGTTGCTGTAAAGCTTTTCCTGTACATTCAGTTTTACTTCTCTTAGTGACTTTAATTTAGTAGAAATGTATTAAACATCAAAGTCAAACACCCCCTTGATTTGTCTTGGTTTGTCCACCAATAAAAACACACAGTACAGTAAACAAAAAGGTGTTTAAAGAGCAGGACGTGTTACAGCAGCGCCGCCGCTTCGCCTCGTCTGCTCCAGAGCCGTAATGAGGAGGCTAACCTTGTTAGTGTGAGCCGTAACCTAATTGACTGAAGCTGTGAGTCGCTGGAGTTGCTGGAGATGCTGGATTCCTGGGCGTTCTCTCTGAAACTGGATTTCAGGCGTGATCCTCCTGATTAGGGGTGTAAATCCGGCCGCTGGTGAATAAAGGGCGTTGTGAGGAGCGTTGTTCTAACGATCGGGCCTTAAAGGGCCGTTATGCTGAATGTTTTATTGATAGCGCGCTCGCCGCTTTGGGACGCATTCCGCTGTAATGGAGCGAAGTGTTTTTAGCTCGGGCCGCTCTGAAAGCACTCGTTTCGGCCTGTAGATGATATCTCAGCGCGCTGATTCGGGAACAATGCATCATTGAGTTTGGCTGCTGAGTTTTGGTAACTCGATCCCAGGTGTTGAAGGAATTTTCAGAATCTTATTGAAGTATAAAAGGCGAAAAAGGGTTTTTTTTTCTCACTTTTGTAACATAATGAGTTTGAGCTGAGAGCAGAACTGGGGGCAGGTTTCATTGTGAGGGGTGTTCAGAATGAGCCGTGTGGTTTAAAACTGCTTTTACACCTTTTATATGCTCTTTTATCTCTGCAGTGTCCTCAGATCCATGGAGTTCAGCTCATCTGACCAGCCTGCAGCACAGGTAAAGCTTTAAACCTCACAGTTTAGGAGTTTGGCTGCACTATTTAAATGCAATTATGTAATTACGTAGTTAGTTACATAGTAAAGGTGATCTGCGGGCTGTTTATTCGGGCTCGAGTCTGCGTTTCTGACCTTTTCTGTTTTGTTTTGACATGAAAAAATGACCAATATAACTTTTAATTGAATTCTAGTCATATTAAAATATCTCGTATTCTGCTTACAAGCATAGGAATCTGCACTTTCCACACAGTTTCTCATCTTGTGAGCCAGAAATGATGCATATGCATTTGGAAAATGGCAGAATAACATTTAATCTGAAATATATAGCTGTATTATCATTGCAGCATTGAGCTTCACTGTTTTTTAGACATCTTTCACAATAATTAGATCATATCTGGGCTAGAAGGACTGTTGATATTTGCGCTGTTGTTGGAACAAAACCTCGTATCTCCAAAATGGTAACTTTACAGGAGAAGGAAAAAACATACTTTACTTTTAATGTAAGTCAGTGGAACCAGGTGTTTCTCCAAGCCATTTTGGGCTGTTTATTTTGGTCCATTCATCATGAAATTTACACACAATGTAAAGAGCAACAGGCATTTTCAAATTATGTCACAAACTGAAAAAGGACAAAAATGGAGATATGAGGTTTTGTTCCGACAGCAGCAAAATATAACAGAATTTAATAAGCCATTTATTTATATTTTTAACTGGACCTTCATCAAGTGATCTGTATCCTCTGATTCCACAGCTTTAGTTATTCAGCACTAATATTTAATATAGAATACAAAAAGCGTGTCCAAAAGAGTAACACCAGCTCTTTTGATTGGATCTACAGAGTGATTTATTTTTTTTCCTATTATTAAAAGAATATTTTTTCAAAAATTTGAAACAGAAATACTAGAAATGGTCTATATTGTCAACAGTATATTATATGATGTCTACATATTCTTCAGGATCCTCCGCGGCCTCTGGAGCTTCTGCTTTCTGGAAAAGAGTCCAGCCACGGAGGCGGACGACCGACCCACAGCGAACTGACCGGTGAGTGTGACCTCACCAGGAGAGAAAGTTTGAGCGTAATGACACTTACCTTACTGTAGTGTGTTCTTTTTTCTCCAGACTCAGTAATGCTACTATTTTCAGGTTTAACAAAAATATTACACAGTGCTGCTTTGACTGATATACTTTATTTGATTGGTTGCTGTATTGATAACAAATGAAAGCTGAAATCTAAACGGCTGAGGTTTCCTGCTGCGTTACTAGCGCCCCGTCCCAAACCGCATACTAGCTCACTAAATAGTGTGTAAAAATAGTGCATATCCCATTAGAAGTGCACTCATTAGTGCAGTAGGTGAAGTACAGAAGTGTGTGGTTTGGGACGCGGCGTTAGATCAGCCAGTGAGACGCGTTCAACAGCTGCTCTGCTGAGCTGCTCATTAGCTGCTCATTAAACACCTCCAAGAGGAAGTTTGAGGGGTTTGATTAAGGAGCTTTTATTGAGGTAAATTAATGTTTTTATTGAGCTAAATTAATGTATTGAGCTAAATTAATGTATTTATTGAGGTAAATTAGTGTATTTTTGGGGTGAGCTGATGTTGGCTGTATATTCGGAGCTTCTTGTTTGAAAATTGTTCTGCGTTTAAGACGCCTCAGTGTAACTACAGCTCCCTTTAAGGTGGAGTGGAAAATTCAGACGAGAATGTGGTGAATAAGAATCTTCAGCTTTATATCTGCGTATGAGTTTATTATTTAAGAGCTTTGATTAGTTTTTATAAAATTTCACACTCTGGAATGTTCTGAACTCTGGAGATGTGCAGGTGAAATAGGTCCAGTTCACCAGTCTAACTAATCTAGTGTTTCAGGAGACGCTTCTAAGGTGTCCACATGTCTGTTCATGTGTTTGTGGTCATTCTGGTCTGTGTTGTTGGTGTTTATCCTCCTGCAGGGCTGTATCTGCAGTAAAGGTGATGAGACGAGCTCCATCAGAGCACAGTCAGAGCTACAGCTCACCTACCGACATGGCGACGGGGTGTTCTTAATGATGTAATCCAATACTGTGAATTAATGCCGAACTAGCAGCTGCAACTATCAAACGAGGCAGAGGGCTTTCGGCCCTTTTCCAACACAGCTAAACCAACTTTCTGTGGACTTTCACTTTGGTCTGTGACCTGATGTGTCTTCATAAGTTCGTGTAAAGTCCGCTGCATTATTCTATTGTGCTGGAAGAAAGATAAACAAAAGGAGTAGCTGCACAAACAGGTAGTGACGAGAAAGGTTTGGAGGCTACGGTCTTTAAGGTCACTTCTGCTCAGCGAGTGCAGCTCCTCCGCAGGCCTGAGGCTTCCCGAACCGCACCGTTTCCTAAAGAGCTAAATGATAATGAGGCCTGCTTTCGCTGTGGCGTCTGTGTTTTATCTCCTCAGGTTGCCCTTTTAACCATACAGTGTTAATGTCGGTGTGTGTGTGTGTGTGGGGGCTGTAAATGTCAGGCCAGTTCACCTCTGGACTGCCCTCATGGAAATTATGCATTGCATTTGGGATTTAAATGTGAATGTAAATCTGTTTTTCTTTCACGTTTAGCCTTTTTAATGCACGCCTGAAAGGGGAATTCCACCCATCGTTCCAAATTTCTGCATAATTAAGTGATTAACCCTTTAAGGCTGGCACAGAAAATGTACTGACGTTTAAACCGTGAATCATGTGATTTCTCTGCGCTTAAAAAGTCTTAAAAAGATGGTTCTTCAAGGGTTCTTTAGTAAAGCCAGTGGTTCTATTTAGAACCATAAGTTCTAAACAGAACAGTTCTTTGCATGGTGAAATGGTTCTTCAGATTGATGTAGAGTGTGTTGTATATGGTTCTATATAGCACCAAAAAGGGTTCTTATACTGTTACAAGTTTGATGTTGTAACAATAGCAGAACCCTTTTTAAAACCATATACAACAATTCCTTTTTTACCATGCGAAGAACCATTTCAGATCTCATGGTTCTTAATAGAACGATTGCCTTTACTAAAGAATCCTTGAAGAACCATCTTTTTTAAGTATCATATAAAGCTTGTAACTCCGTAAGAACCGTTTTTGGTGCTATATGGAACCATTTTCAGAAGGGTTCTATATAGAACCATAGATAATCTGAAGAGCTGTTTCATCATGCTTAAATGGTCCTTTGCATGGTGGAATGGTTCTTCAGATTGTCTATGGTTCTATATAGAACCTTTCGGAAAATGGTTCTTCAAGGGTTCTTTTGTAAAGGCGATGGCTCTGTTAGAACTCATGGTTCTATATAGAACCATTTCCTTTACTAGAGAACCCTTGAGGAACCATCAAGTGTAACAAAGCCAAAATCTCGTAGATTTGTAGAAAAAAAGACACTAAATAGGAATGTAAGTCAGTCGTGTTTTGTCATTATTCTGGTTAAATCAATAATAACCGCGTACAGATCCAAACTGAACTGAACAATCACGGAACCATCTTTTATTCAGTGACAGGAAACACAGTAGCTCACAGAAAGCTCCAGTTCCACATGCTGATACGTTTAAAAAAGCAAATTCTCGCTGGCGAGACGCTCGGTTCCATAGAGTTGAGCAGTAATCAGAGAGATTCAGAGTGGTTTGGTGTGAAATGGTTCAGATGTCTTTACAGTGGTGGTGATAGGAACCAGGGGTCGCCATGACTACAACACAAATATAGACATTTTATTTACTATCCAGAACCACCAGTGAACCTACACGAGTCTTCTGAGTTTATATGGAATGTTGATGATGGAAAATAGTGGAAAATCTGAAATAATAAGTTTTCTTTGGGGACTATTTTGCCTCACAGCGCCCTGCATGTATCCCTCCACCATGAATGGAGTTTTAAGTTCTCTAAACTATCATAAAACAGTGTCTCAGTCATCAGGCAGTGAATTCATAACCATTTCATGTAGGAACTTTCTGTGAGGGAGCTTTTAGAGGTGGACGTCTGGTTCCTATCACCACCACTGTGAACAGTTCTGAACCACTCTGAGTGACTGTTTCAATGTTAAATGCTTAATAATGCAGAAAAATAAAAAAAATAGTGGAATTCATGTTCTGGATGATCTGACCATAAGTGGGCAGTGCTTTATGAGAACAGGGTATAATGTATTTCAGAGACGCACTGTAATATAATCAGTCTGACCATCTTGTGCCGTTGCCAGTCTGTGTGACTTAAGCACTTATAACATTCACAGCCACAGGGACCGGTGTTGGTGCTGTGCGTGTAACGGCCGCTGTGTGTTCTGTGCCGCAGGTTCCACGGGTCGTAAAGATAAAGGTTCTCCGGTGGAGAGTTCTCAGCGTCTTCCGGCCACGCCCGTGCCCACCAACACCACACAGGGTTCCCCCCCTCAGCTCCTCATGAGAACCGGCACAGCTACCTCCGAATCCGCCGCCAGTGCCAACGGTGCCCACCCCTTCTCCCCCACGGGCATCGGGCCGGACTTCTTCACGCCCGCCGTCGCCAGCGTGGGCGCCACCTTCCCTCCGCTGGCGGGAAAAATGGCCCTCAGCTCACTGCTCCAGCGGCAGCTCATGCAGAGCTTCTACACCAAAGCACTGCAGGTAGGCGTGAACCTGTTATTTATTTAGTTATATATATTTATAAATAAAAACAATTATTTACTTATTAATAAAAAACACGGTGTTGGTAAAGTGTGATGTAAAACGGAGCGTATAAAATTATGCATTAAACGTGGTGATTCAGCTGCGTTTCAGTTTCAGAATCAGTTAATCAATTATAATCAATTATAATAATGTTCCATTATATGCATTCACTTTTTTCACCAAAATAGAATTTTTACCCTATTTTGAAAAACTGAAAAATAAAAATTAATCGCATGTTGTTTTTATTCTCTATTTTTATTTATTTTATAGTCTTTTGGTATATTGGTATATTCCACTGCTGTATCAATAGTTTCTCAAGTAACATATCATCACTGTCCAAAAAAATCTTCCTTTTTTGTTATTATTTTTCTAAATCATCTGAGCAAAGCAGCAGCCCTTTACATTGTGTAAAAATGTCCTGATAAATAGACGAGTAGAAATGCTCCAAAATTCCTTGGTATAAATTCAGTTTACATTGACTTAAATTAAAACGTGAGAATGTTTCTGCCCTCTCCTGTGAAGTTACCTTTTTGAAGATACTTGTTTTTCTTCGGACAGTGACGATATATCGGGTGTTCAGTGGTTTTGAATTGTTTTTTCAATGTTATTTTTAAATAAAATTTTGAATTGTGATGATAATAATCAAATCCAAACAAATCAAAGATTTCAAGATGCACTGAATCCTGAATTCTGTGGTTGGCTATAAAAAATAAATACAATAAACTACATTTTCACTTGTGTTGCATAAAATGTAAAACCTCCTGCAGTTCATTCAAAACTTGCTTTGAAACAAGCGTCATTAAACAGCCAATCAGAATGCAGAATGCCATGTGATCATGTTAGACGATATTACTTCAACTAACATAACGTCGTTTATTTGACAGTACTGACCGAGCCTATCCAGCTACCTGCTTGTGCTGGCGTTTATTTTTCTTAGTTGGCCTGCCGTTAGAATGATTTACGTGGCTAGGTTGTTCTTTTTTCCCTCTCCTGATACTCATTAATTTTTAGACATAATCTTATTTATTTAGGTTTTATTTAGCAAGAATGACATGAAAAATACTAGCTGGTATCCTTGCTAGATAGCTAGCACATAGCAACATAACTAAAACACATAGCTAGCTACAACACATTAGCTTTACATCCTTAACTTCCAGTATAATCTTGAATGTCCTTCATATAGTATAACTCTAATGTTAAGTATTTATTAACATTCATAATTAGGGAAAATTAGTTACAGCCTGAAGCGCTAGCTGAAACAGCTGGGGGTAGCTAACATTATCGTTAACCTATGTACGGTGGACAAGAGCATTTTAGTCTTGCTACACGGTGGAACAGTCAGAAGTGTTGCGTGCAGCTTTGCTTATTTTTAGCTGCTTTGTGTTGAATGGAAATTAGGTTTCATGCAACTTGCATGAAACCAGCAACTAGTCGTGTGAAAGTTTTACCGTATAACACCAGGCTGACGAGACCCCTCCCTCCCCACAGGAGAGTTCGGCCGGCGCCCTGCTGTTTGCCCCTCAGCACTACGCCTCCAGCCCCCTGCCGCCCGCCGCCAGCCCCGATGCCAACGGCACGGTGCCCTCGCCCAGCCGCTCGGAGGGAGCAGGCAGCGCCTCGGAGGGAGAGGAGCTGGACACGGCCGAAATCGCCCGGCAGGTGAAGGAGCAGCTGATCAAACACAACATCGGCCAGCGCGTGTTCGGACACTACGTCCTGGGCCTGTCCCAGGGCTCGGTCAGCGAAATCCTGGCCCGACCCAAACCCTGGAGCAAACTGACCATCCGCGGGAAAGAGCCTTTCCACAAGATGAAGCAGTTCCTCTCCGACGAGCAGAACATCCTGGCGCTGAGGAGCATTCAGGGACGACAGAGAGGTAAAAACTCGTGCACCACGTCAGGGGCGGGCGAAGTGTCGTCAGCGTGATCACGTGATGTTTATTTATAGTAAAAAAACACAGGATTGATAAGGTGTGATACGAAATGAGGTAAAAATAATTATACGTCATTCAAAAGGTGGCGATTCAGCTGCGTCAGCATTAGAATCTTTGATTAGTTACAATCGATTATAGTCATATTCAATATTGTGCACACAATTTTTGGACAAACTGATTTTTTTAGGCTTTTTTCAAATGTAAAAATAAAGCTTAGTTGTCTATTTTTAATTAAATTACTGTCTATTGTGCATTATATATTCAACTACTGTATAAATAGTTTCGCACGCAATATATATTGTATGTTCAGGGTTTTTTTCTATTTCTTACATTTTAATTTGGTAACGCTTTATTTAGAGAGGCCACTTTAGATGCTTTGTAGATACTTAATTCACTGAATATCTGCTAAATTGACCATCGTTTTCTTTAACTGTTAACCTGCTCTAATCCTCACCCTAACATTAACCTCAACCCAAAACCTAAACCCAGCCCTAACCCTGGTCCAAATCCTAACCCCAACCCCACCACTGTTTAGAGTCAACAGATAGTCTGTTAACAGTTTGAACATCTGTAGATAATTTATAAAGTGGACTTTATTGTGGACTAGCCAAATAAAGTGAGACCGTTAATTTTAATATTTTGAATCATATTAATAATCAAATCAAAACAAATTGTGGACAGACTGAATCGCTTCCTAAAGAATCATAAATGAATCAAATCTTTCAGAGATTCACACCTGTAAGTAGTAATATATAATTGTGTGGTTGGCTTTTTTGTGGTTTGGGTACTGAAGTAGACACATTAGGGTGGGCAAAATAACAGTATTGTGTCGTTATTATGATAAATCATGGTACAATACACTTTTCGGTTTATATTATATATTATCGTCAGTGTGTAGACCCATATCTTACTGTTTTATATTTTTATTTTTTCCCTGACGTCTACTCATGACATTTATGTGGGTTTTATGCACTAAAAACAGTCGTTATTCATTTCTATATTCCAATAGTGCTGCCAAAAATGACGTCCTTCTGAAAAATCACACCGGTTCAAACCATTCGAATATCTGTTTTTGTGCATTATGTCCATAAGTGGCGAATCAGTATTTGGATAGGTATATTTATTTTGTCATAAACATGTCTTTTAAAGGATCTACATACCTACACATTACAAATGAGACAAATAAAATAATTAGGTTATGTATATAGGACGGACACTGGACACTCCGAGCGAGCTGTGCTGTGAAAAACGTGGAACAGCAGTTATCTTTTCCTTGACATGGAACAGGAAATAATAATCCAGCCAACAGGGACCTGGCTGTGTGGGTGGAGTTCCGGACGCCAGGCTATGCTCATATTACATATTTTCCTAAAGAATCATTATTAAGTTGAATCTTTCTGAGGTCAGAGATTTACACCCATGAGAAGTAATATCTTTACATTTCTGTGGCTGGTTTTAAATAGTGAATTGTGACAACATATTAAAATAAAATGAAATAAACCAAAAATCTTGTGTTGCAAACTAAAACTTCCTGCAATTCATTTGAAACTTGCTTCTAGACAAGCTCCATTAAACAGCCAATCAGAAAGCAGATAGCGTGCCGTGTGATCATGTCAGATGATATTATTTCAACCTACACAGTGCTGCTTATTTGGCGGTGACTTCGGCTTGTGCCGGTGTTTATTCGTCTTTGTTGGCCTGCCGTTAGCGCAGGGACACAGGAAGGTGTTTTGAGTTGGGGGTGCTGAAATTTCATGACGTGAATGGTGATGTCATGCAAAATGATTTGCCTTTTTTGATTTACATTGAACAGAATGTGTCATGTTGTTCTATAATGTAGCGAGAGATGAAATGGTAGATGAACTGTAGCTTAAACAGCTCGCCTACAGCTTCATCTTGTGGTTCCTCCATTTTGCCGTCTGTTAGGCTGTTTAGATCACTGGAGTGCAGATCGCTCTCTCTGAGGCCGAGTCGGGTTGTGAACTCTCTGCCATTATAACCACACAGTTGCTGTTGAATTATACACTCATTACAGCTGTACCTACGTTTATATTCATGAAAGTGACGTTGCATGATTCCTGTGCTGCCCGAGGACTTGCAAGGCAGACAGACTCAGTAGTGCTGCTTTTTATCAAATATTAATCTTCACAATAATTTTTTTTTTTTTGCAATTTGGTTATGTAATCAAATCTAGAATATTCATTAACAGCAGTATTTTCCAACTTCTCTTTATTTATTAGAATTAAACAGGCAGTTTTTTTGCTGTTTAGGCTGAAACTCTCCTTATAATGTCAGCATGGATGGGTGTGGCTAAACTGCTGTAGCTGGATGTCTGTAAATGTTTTTGCTTTTTGTGACATCATGTACGAGTGAATTCAAAACAGGCTGTTTTTGTAGCTTGGTTTCTGGGGGTCGGTGATGTGATGATATTTGATTGCATCGTGATAAATCACGTCACTTTTCTGAGCGTATCATCGACCTCGTCGCTACTTAAAGAACCCCGACCATTGTATGTTTTATTAAAAAAGAGCAGAATTGGCCCTGTTTAGTTGGATTTACAGGGATACAGGGTGATACATATTGTGATGATGTCTTGAAGTATTGTGATATTATTTTTTTCCTAAATCGCCCTACACGACATGTCCTGCAGCGTTTCTTCAGAAAAGAAGGGTATTAATAGTGAGTTTGTGCTGCAGTAACAGCCTCTACTCTTCTGAAGGGCTCTAGATGTTGGAACATTGCTGTGAGGATTTGATTGAGCATTAGTGAGGTCAGGTAGTGATGTTGGATAATCACTCCAGCTCATCCCAGAGGGGCTGCGGTGTTTGTGTTGATGGATATCCGGTTAAAAAGGACTGACTGTGGTTCTGCCGATGTGTTTGCTCTCTCTGGTCTGGTGGGTAGTTCTATGCAAAACCCCTGAAAACCTGTATTTTCACATCAAAGACTGGAGCTAACACAGCACATTCATGCTGGCATGTTCCATACATGGGAGGCAGGTGGTTTTGGGTGAGGTTTGAGGAGAAAGGAGGGTTATTTCTTCTTTAGAGTAATTCTGCGAACTCTTTCAGCTTTAAATAGCTCTTTAAGCTTCTTTTAAGTGGCGCTGACCTCGAAGCTCATTGCAGTTGCAGTGGAATGTGATGAGACATTTTAAAAGAGCAAGTCTTGTTTTTTTAATTGTAATAGTGGCTGTATAATAGCAGCAGAACTTTGGGGTCTTGCTCGTATTTTTTTCTTATCCTGCGCTGCTTGTTTTCCAACAGAGAACCCAGGCCAGAACCTGAACAGAGTGTTTCAGGAGGTTCCCAAGCGAAGAACCGGCTCAGAAGGCTCCTCTAAGCCAGGTCTGTTCTAAGCCTTCCCTTTAGCTGTGGATTGGGCTGTTTCTGTGTTGTGACGGTCTGTGTGTCTCTCTCGTTGTTTGGCCTGGAGTCTGTTGGAAGATGAGTGGATGCAGCAATAGGCGTGATAGTGGACACTAATCAGGCTCATTTTGGACCATAAAATAAATAAAAAAGTTGCTCTGACAGACTGTAATACACTACAGGAAGTGTAGGGGGCGATATGGCTTCTACTGTTTCATTTAAAAAGCCTCTATAATGTTCATATGATCCACACAGTCACTCTGACAGACTGTAATACACTACAGGAAGTGTAGGGGGCGATATGGCTTCTACTGTTTCATTTAAAAAGCCTCTATAATGTTCATATGATCCACACAGTCACTCTGACAGACTGTAATACACTACAGGAAGTGTAGGGGGCGATATGGCTTCTACTGTTTCATTTAAAAGCCTCTATAATGTTCATATGATCCACACAGTCACTCTGACAGACTGTAATACACTACAGGAAGTGTAGGGGGCGATATGAATTATGTCGTTTCATTATATCGAATTTTATACCAAGTTTTTAAAATATTATTCGTTTATTTTTTTCACATTTATTTATTAGCTCTGTAGCTCTAACTACTAGTATAACAGCTTGTTTAAAACTGTTAAGCTATATAAAAGTAGCATATTAAATACAGTATTAAATTATTATTTCTGAAAAGACTCAGAATATGCATCAGTGCGTCAGAATATGGACGTACTAAAAATGAAGTGAATTACTGCAACACTTTAAAGCGATTGGCAGTGTAACTTATCTCAGCATATCAAGTTTAATTGTCTGTTCTGACTTCATTGTATTTGAAATTTAAAACACTGTGCAGCTGTAACACGTACGAAAATCGGAGAAGACTCGGTATCAGCACGCTCTTAAAATTGGAACCGGAACATCTCTGAGTTAAGAACTTTCTGACTATCCTGTCCAAACCTTGTTTCGCTTCTCCTGTGAAGTTAATATTTCAGAGACAGAAGGTTTTGTAATGACAGTGGCGAAACCTTTCTGTCTGCTTATTGTTTTAATCTTTGTTGTGAAGCATGCCTGTAAGCTCCTGGACACAAAAATAAGTTCATAATAAGTAATAAGTGCATAATTTCTTCTTGTCTTAATAACAATTTTTCAAATCTGTTTTTTTCCATAATCCTGCATTTATGATGTAAACAGAGACATTCTGTTTGCTATCCAAGTTTTCTTTGGGGACTGTTTTGCCGCACAACACCCTGCATGTATCCCACCACCATGAATGGATTTATATAACACGATTTGGGCCAAAATCTTATAAAAACTATCATAAAACAGTGTCTCAGTCATCAGGCAGTGAATTCATAACCATTTCATGTAGGAACTTTCTGTGAGGGAGCTTTTAGAGGTGGATGTCTGGTTCCTATCACCACCACTGTGAACAGTTCTGACTCTAAGTTTCTCTAGAACAGAGCGTTTCACACCAAACCACTCTGAACGACTCTGAATGACTCTGAACCACTCTGAATGACTCTGAACCACTCTGAACGACTCTGAACCACTCTGTTTACGTCTTAGGAATTTAATTATGCACAGAACTTCGGTGGAGTTCCCCTTTGAGGTGTTATCACATACTAGAGAAGAAATGGTGCGTGCCACTTTTTGTCTGGTGAGCTTATAAATAATATAATAAAAAAGCAACAGTTAAGTGTGTCCAGGCTACTTTCTGACTTTCTGAGTCCTTTGAAGTGCAGTTAGTCCTGGACTGCAGTGTTGACCGGCAGTGTGGGCAGCGTGGATGTGTGTCCTTGAGGCTGGGCCACAATGCCACCCCACTGTAACTGGTGGTTCTGCTTCCCCTCGGGCAGCACTGTAGGTGGTCAGCCACCCAGCGACTGTGTGTGTGTGTGTGTGTGTACATTACTTCCACCTCGCACACGCCCAGCTGCTCACTTCACACACCAGTGAATCTGACCTTCCCCCACTGCCCACTGCTCAGCAGCCCTACTGGACACACACACATACAGATGTTTGTTTTATGTACAATGTCAGGACGTCCTGTATGTGTTACACAGATATAAGTATTCCTATGTAATAACATCCATAAGGTACCACTACAGAATAGGACTATCACTATGAATGGTTTGAAATTACTTTATTAATTGTCATAAACACCTTGAAATTACTAATAACCACATTAATAAAAAGGGCAGCAGTGAGCTGTTGTATGTGATGAGGCTCACAGGTTTGATGGAGAAGACAAAGTAAGATTAGTAATCAGCACCATCTGTGCTTTAACAGTGTAGACGAGTGTGGGTTCACTACCAGGCAAACCGATGCACTTTTTATTTATGCTTATTATTGTTTTTTAAGTGTTTATGACCTAATTATTAACCATTAATGAACTATTTTAAAATATTCATAAAACTTGTTCATGTGAGAGTAGTCTTATTCTAAAGTGCTCAATTCTAAAGTATTCCATATGAATTGAATGTCTGTAAGCATCCCCATATATATACAAATATATATACACAAACACACATTAGCCCATGTTTGTTTTAGTTGATACTTTGATCAATTAAATGGAATTTAAAAATCCATATGATGTCAGGAGGTGTCCAGGAGAAATTTGAAACCAAATTTTGTTCTTTTATTCAGCTCACAAGATATCAACTACGTTTTTGAAAACTATTAGTCATTGTAATTTGTCCGTTTAGTTGTATCTTTTTTTATTGTATATAGTGATTTTACGAACATAAACACACTTACTGCCCAGATAAACGGCTCTAAATGTGTGTGTGTGTGTTTGTTCATATATATATATATATATACAACGATCAGCCATAACATTCTGACCACCTCCTTGTTTCTGTGCTCATTGTCCATTTTATCAGCTCCACTTACTATATAGGTGCACTTTGTAGTTCTACAGTTACAGACTGTAGTCCATCTGTTTCTCTGATACTTTGTTAGCCCCCTTTTACCCTGTTCTTCAGTGGTCAGGACCCCCATGGACCCTCACAGAGCAGGTACTATTGGGTGGTGGATCATTCTCAGCGCTGCAGTAACACTGACGTGGTGGTGTGTTAGTGTGTGTTGTGCTGGTACGAGTGGATCAGTCACAGCAGTGCTGCTGGAGTTTTAAACACTGTGTCCACTCATTGTCCACTCTATTAGACACTCCTACCTTGTCGGTCCACCTTGTAGATGTAAAGTCAGAGACGATAGCTCATCTGCTGCTGCACAGTTTGTGTTGGTCATCCTCTAGTCCTTCGTCAGTGGTCACAGGACGCTGCCCACAGGACGCTGTTGTCTGGATATTTTTGGTTGGTGGACTATTCTCAGTCCAGCAGCGACACTGAGGTGTTCAAAAACTCCAGCAGCACTGCTGTGTCTGATCCACTCAGACCAGCACAGCACACAGGTGCATAATGTTATGCCTGATCGGTATGTATGTGTGTGTGTGTGTGTGTGTGTGTGTGTGTGTGTGTGTATCAGTAAGTGTGTGCTGGTAAAATCACCATACATAATTAGAAAAGATAGAAATAAAAGCTACAAATAAATAGTTTTGTTTGTTTTTAAAAAATTAAAAAAAAGAGTCTTTCAGATGTTTATAGAGGACGTCCAGCAGAAGCCACAGGAACATATATGAAATATATATTAGGATATAAGTAATATTATATAACAAAAACTCTGTCACTCAAAGCCATGTACATTGCCTGTCAGAGGTTCATTTAGGTTTGCAGTTTTTTGCAGGGAGAGGTGAGAAGATTTGTACTTAATATGCTTAATATGTGAAGTTATCACGGACTGACCGAACCTCGTTTATGAACTACGTTATGAATGTCTAGGTGTCCCCAAACAGTCGGTCTGTGGTGGAGGTCTGTACTGAAGTGAGGTCACTGGTGCTTTTGTAGCTCATCCCTTGATCTTGAGCTCTATAGGACACATTTATTTACACGGTTTGCTTTCAGAGCCTGAACAGCACTGAGTTAAGAGCTGCATGTCAGTGTGCAGGTGGATGGGAAGCATGAAAACACTCCTCACCCCACTTACCTCTCTCTCTCTCTGCCTCTCTCTCTCTCTCTCTCAGGTAACATCACCACCAGGATCCGCACCCCCGATGGTGGCTCAGACGAGGCCATTAAATCCATCCTAGAGCAGGCCAAAAGGGAGCTGCAGGTACAGAAAGGTGAGTCCATCTGGTCTGTGATTCCCATGGTTACACCACTCCCATTCCCATGGTTACACCACTCCCATTCCCATGGTTACATCACTCCCATTCCCATGGTTACACTACTCCCATTCCCATGGTTACACTACTCGCATTCCCATGGTTACACCACACCCATTCCCATGGTTACATCACTCCCATTCCCATGGTTACGTCACTCCCATTCCCATGGTTACACTACTCCCATTCCCATGGTTACATCACTCCCATTCCCATGGTTACATCACTCCCATTCCCATGGTTACACTACTCCCATTCCCATGGTTACACTACTCCCTTTTCCATGGTTACACTACTCCCACTCCCATGGTTACATCACTCCCATTCCCATGGTTACATCACTCCCATTCCCATGATTACATCACTCCCATTCCCATGGTTACATCACTCCCATTCCCATGGTTACACCACTCCCATTCCCATGGTTATACCACTCCCATTCCCATGGTTACATCACTCCCATTCCCACGGTTACACTACTCCCTTTTCCACGGTTACACTACTCCCATTCCCATGGTTACATCACTCCCATTCCCATGGTTACACCACTCCCATTCTCATGGTTACACCACTCCCATTCCCATGTTTACACTACTCCATTCCCATGGTTACAATACTCTATTCCCATGGTTATGCTACTCCCATTCCCATGGTTACGCTACTCCCTTTTCCATGGTTGCACTACTCCCATTCCCATGGTCACACTACTCCCTTTTCCATGGTTACACTACTCCCTTTTCCATGGTTACACTACTCCCATTCCCATGGTTACACTACTCCCATTCCCATGGTTACACTACTCCCATTCCCATGGTTATACTACTCCCATTCCCATGGTTACATTACTCCCATTCCCATGGTAACACTACTCTATTCCCATGGTTATACTACTCCCATTCCCATGGTTACATTACTCCCATTCCCATGGTAACACTACTCTATTCCCATGGTTACACTACTCCAGTCCCATGGTTACACTACTCCTATTCCCATGGTTACACCACTCCCATTCCCATGGTAACACTACTCTATTCCCATGGTTACACTACTCCCATTCCCATGGTTACACCGCACCCATTCCCATGGTTACACTACTCCAGTCCCATGGTTACACTACTCCTATTCCCATGGTTACACCACTCCCATTCCCATGGTTACACCACTCCCATTCTCATGGTTACACCACTCCCATTCCCATGTTTACACTACTCCATTCCCATGGTTACAATACTCTATTCCCATGGTTACACTACTCCCATTCCCATGGTTACACTACTCCCTTTTCCATGGTTACACTACTCCCATTCCTATGGTCACACTACTCCCTTTTCCATGGTTACACTACTCCCTTTTCCATGGTTACACTACTCCCATTCCCATGGTTACACTACTCCCATTCCCATGGTTACACTACTCCCATTCCCATGGTTATACCACTCCCATTCCCATGGTTACACCACTCCCATTCCCATGGTTATACTACTCCCATTCCCATGGTTACATTACTCCCATTCCCATGGTAACACTACTCCCATTCCCATGGTTACACTACTCCCATTCCCATGGTTACACCGCACCCATTCCCATGGTTACACTACTCCAGTCCCATGGTTACACTACTCCTATTCCCATGGTTACACCACTCCCATTCCCATGGTTACACTACTCCCATTCCCATGGTTACACTTCTCCCATTCCCATGGTTACCGTACTCCCATTCCCATGGTTACACTACTCCAGTCCCATGGTTACATCACTCCCATTCCCATGGCTATGCTACTCCCATTCCCATGGTTACATCACTCCCATTCCCATGGTTACACCACTCCCATTCCCATGGTTACACTACTCCCATTCCCATGGTTACACCACTCCCATTCCCATGGTTACACTACTCCCTTTTCCATTGTGAGTCTGCCCCTATTCCCATGGTTACACTACTCCCATTCCCTTGGTTACACTACTCCCATTCCCATGGTTACACTGCTCCCATTTCCATGGCTATGCTACTCCCATTCCCATGGTTACATCACTCCCATTCCCATGGCTATGCTACTCCCATTCCCATGGTTACATCACTCCCATTCCCATGGTTACATCACTCCCATTCCCATGGTTACATCACTCCCATTCCCATGGTTACACTGCTCCCATTCCCATGGTTACACCACACCCATTCCCATCGTTACACTACTCCCATTCCCATGGTTACACCACACCCATTCCCATCGTTACACTACTCCCATTCCCATGGTTATACCACTCCCATTCCCATGGTTACACCACACCCATTCCCATGGTTACATCACTCCCATTCCCATGGTTACACTATTCCCATTCCCATGGTTACATCACTCGCATTCCCATGGTTACACTACTCCCATTCCCATGGTTACACCACTCCCATTCCCATGGTTACATCACTCCCATTCCCATGGCTATGCTACTCCCATTCCCATGGTTACACTACTCCCATTCCCATGGTTACATCACTCCCATTCCCATGGTTACACTACTCCCATTCCCATGGTTACATCACTCCCATTCCCATGGTTACATCACTCCCATTCCCATGGTTACACCACTCCCTTTTCCATGGTTACACTACTCCCATTCCCATGGTTACACTACTCCCATTCCCATGGTTACACTACTCCCATTCCCATGGTTACACCACTCCCATTCCCATGGTTACACTACTCCCATTCCCATGGTTACACCACTCCCATTCCCATGGTTACACCACACCCATTCCCATCGTTACACTACTCCCATTCCCATGGTTACACTACTCCCATTCCCATCGTTACACTACTCCCATTCCCATGGTTACACCACACCCATTCCCATCGTTACACTACTCCCATTCCCATGGTTACACTACTCCCATTCCCATCGTTACACCACTCCCATTCCCATGGTTACACCACACCCATTCCCATCGTTACACTACTCCCATTCCCATGGTTACACCGCTCCCATTTCCATGGTTACACTACTCTCATTCCCATTGTGAGTCTGCCCCTATTCCCATGGTTAAACTGCTCCCATTCCCATGGTTACACTACTCCCATTCCCATGGTTACACCACTCCCATTCCCATGGTTACACCACTCCCATTCCCATGGTTACACTACTCCCATTCCCATGGTTACTCAACTTCCATTTTTATGTTTGGATGGGAGTTTTGCAGCATTTTAATGACAGCAGTTATATTTCTTGTGAGATTCTTATTCCTAGTCAGTAAGCATAACTCCTTCCTGTCTCTGCAGTCGAAAGCGTTCAGCCGCTCTCCTCCTCCTCTGATGAAAACATTCGCTCCATATTGGATCACGCGCGGAGGGAGATGGAGGTCCAGCAGGGGGCGCTGGAGCCGGGGCTGAAGGCTCAGTCCGAAATCTCCCTGCTGGGCTCTAAGCTGCTGACCTCACCCCTGTCCAGGCTGGCGTACTCTCCGCTCGCGCTGACCCTGAAAAAACCGCTGGACTACCACGTCTCAGTGAAGCGGGAGAACAGCGAGGCGGCGCTGTCCGAGGCCAGCCGAAATTCGGACGCTGGAGGCTCGTGGAGGGAGCAGTGGTGGAACACCATTCAGTCCGAGCGGCGCGGAGTCGCGCAGCTGTCCAACGAGGACGCGCAGAGTCAGGAGGACAGCAAAGAGGTGCAGCTCATTTACGAGTCCAGAATCTTAACCCCAGCTTTAGTGAACACGGATTTTATTCTGACCGCTTATGTGTGTCCAGTTGTCATGAAATTTCAGATTTGACCACAACTTTGATTTAGTACGATTCTGAATTATTTTTAAAACTACACTGCATACACAAATGTAACTGGAGGAACAGTATAAATAAACAAATAATAAATAATAATAAATAAACCAGCTTTTAAGCTCTGAGCCATTTATTTTTAAGAATTTTAACCCAAGAATTTTATCTGGTCCACAAAAATGGACCAGATAAGATTTCCTTCCAAAATTAGTTAGGCGTTGTTGGAAGTGGGCTTTACACAAACTAGAAATATCACGATTAATACCACTTTTATAATAGAAATAAAAACTCTATATATCCAAAACTGTTACAGACAGATATACATTTTCAAATGAAACGCCTATTGATTATAATCAGTAATTTTGACATTTTTAATATAATTTCAACTCACAGTATGATCCAGCTCCATTGCTGACCCACTGATTACACCTTTGTACCCCCAGCAGAAGCCCCCCCGTCTGGCCAGCACGGCCCCCGGCTCCTCTCTGGACTGCTGGAAGGACTGGCCCAGTGCCGAATCTCCATTTTCTCCCTTTTCCCAGAGTTCCGAGCTCAGCCTGCCAATGGCTGGTGGTTCTGGCTCCGAGACGCCCCAGAGCAGCCCGCTGCCCTCCTGCCCCCTGCTGGCCATCGCAAAAACGGCCAGCAAGCCCGTGGTGGCCCCGCTGACCCCAGAACAGTACGAGCAGTACATGTACCAGGAGGTGGACACAGTGGAGCTGACGCAGCAGGTCAAAGACAAACTGGCCAAAAACGGCATCTGCCAAAGGGTCTTCGGAGAGAAGGTATGCGACACGTCCAGAACGGCTGTTTAAACGTCTGTTTAGTGACCAGGCGTCGCATCACAGAACCACCCTAACTCTGAAATCTTACCTGTTTAGTCTCCATGACGACTGAATTTAGGACAGTATCTATTCCAGAATAACAGTTTCTAACTTCATAATCTCATCATGAACTCCAGATAAGAAAACAGCATCACACAAACATCCTAACTAGACTAAACCTCCTAAATCCTGTCCTAACTTTAGGATGAACCCCATCTATCTTTCTATCTTAACATAAAAAATTAAAAAATAAAAATAAAAAAATTAAAAATATTCTGTAAGATAAGATTCCTGAATTAAGATCAGATTTTTTTCTGTAATATGAATTTGTGAAAAATCTTTTCTTGACCTGTCAGATATTAACTTAGGACTAAAGATAATAAGTCAAACATATTATCAAGTTTTAAATATTTGTACCTAAAATGATCAAAACCCATCAATTTTATACATTTCTTAATACAAACTCACACATTTTCTAAACCGCTTATCCCTCTGGGTTGCTGGGTGCATTTCTCAATAGGAAAATTCAAAATGTGCTGTCCTCAAAATGCAGAGGAATAATGCATATGATTTGCATGTTACACCTGAATAATAAAACTTCAAAAAACTGTTCATAAACCAGCTTTTTTGGGGTGTGTGTGTGTGTCTTTGTGTGTGCATGTGTGTGTGTGCGTGTGTGTGTGCGTGTGTGTGTGTGTGCAGGTGCTGGGCCTGTCTCAGGGCAGTGTGAGTGACATGCTGTCTCGGCCGAAGCACTGGAGTAAACTCACTCAGAAAGGCCGAGAGCCGTTCATCCGCATGCAGCTGTGGCTCAACGGAGAGAACACACCCCAAACACAAGGTACACACACACACACACACACACACACACCAAACACAAGGTACACACACATACACACACACACACACACACACACACCAAACACAAGGTACACACACATACACACACACACACACACACACACACACACACCAAACACAAGGTACACACACATACACACACACACACACACACACACACCAAACACAAGGTACACACACACACACACACACACACACACACACACCAAACACAAGGTACACACACACACACACACACACACACACCAAACACAAGGTACACACACATACACACACACACACACACACACACACACACACACACACCACAAGGTACACACACATACACACACACACACACACACACACACACACCAAACACAAGGTACACACACATACACACACACACACACACACACACACACACACACACACCAAACACAAGGTGCACACACACACACACAAATACACTCTCACACACCGTGTTTGTATTGCTATTTTTGTGAGGACTCTGTAGTGCTGTAGCCGAGTTAGGGAGCTTCCAGATGATGCTTTTAAAAAGCTAAAAAGGAGCTTCTTAATGGGGCGAATTGACACAATCGAGGCAGTAAGTAAACAGGAGAAAGCAGCCCCCCCTCCCCGCCTTACTGCCTATAAAACTCCGACAGCACTGCCATGTCTGATACTCGCACAGCACAACACACACTAGCACCTAGGTTACCTAGGTTCTAGGTAACCCAGTGAATAATGCATTACAGCAGTTTAGCCACAAAAAGACAACAGCATAATCAGCTTCTCAGCGTCTTGCTAAAATCATTTCTAAGCAGTTACAACACATAAAAAGGGGCAACCGTGACCTGATAGTGAACCCATTTCATTTAAACTGTTAAACCTCAGACTTTATCTTCATCAGTCAGCATCAAACCTGTGAGCCTCATATTCATCAGCTCACTTCTCCCTTTTATAAATGTGTTATAACTGCATGTTTAAATAAACAAAATGAACTAAATTATATATATATATATATATATATATATATATATATATATATGTATGTATATAATGTAATTATTGTTATAGTCATATGCAATTTATTTAATTTCTTTCATGTGATCTGATTTTACATAAAAATATAAAATATAAATGATAATATAATAACATAAAATGAATGCTTGTCTAAATTGAACAAATAATTGTTTAATGAATTTAAATACTGTAAAATGAATGTGGAATGAATTAATTTATGATGATGTTAACATAACTGTGGCTGCTGCAGTTCATACAGTCTGCAGTATTTTTATTGTCTCTCGTCGTTGACCTGGATTTGAGAGGTGGGTCCGTCATTAGCGGGGGGGGTTGAGTTAGCATGTAGCGGGTTAGCATTGTAAGCCCTGGGGGCTTTCCCTGGAGGTTCCTGTAGCTGTTATAATCAATTACCCCATCATTTCTGGGATATATGATAATTACCCCACTGTCCTCGCGTACCGCTGGCCGTCGCGCTACGGCGGCTGATTAATATGCAAATAATCCGGCGATGGTTTGATAAATGGGCCGTTAGCGGAGTGTGTGATGAATTATACTGTGTCTGTCCTACATTAACCAGCCTTCCTCCATCACTCTCCACAAATTAGGCAGAGCGAGATACAGATTAGAGAGAGGAGAGCAGCTGGGAGGAGGAGGAGGAGGAGGAGAGGGGGAGGAGAGGAGCAGGAGGAGGAGAGGGGGGAGGAGGAGGAGGAAGAGGATGGGAGGAGGAGTAGAGGGGGAGAAGAAAGAGGAGTAGAGGGGGGAGGAGAAAGAGGAGGAGGGGGTGGTGGGAGACAGACAAGTTTTAAAATAGTACTAAGCTTAAAAACCAACTGCCTTTGTCTATATAGAGAGAGAGAGAGGAGAGAGATACAGAGGGAGAGAGAGAGAGAGAGAGATACAGAGAGAGATAGAGGGAGAGAAGAGAGATACAGAGGGAGAGGGAGAGAGAAAGAGAGAGATACAGAGGGAGAGAGAAAGAGGGAGATACAGAGAGAGAGAGAAGAGAGATACAGAGAGAGAGGAGAGATACAGAGGGAGAGGGCGAGAGAAAGAGATACAGAGGGAGAGAGAAAGAGAGAGAGATACAGAGGGAGATACAGAGAGATACAGAGGGAGATACAGAGAGAGAGATAGAGAGAGAGAGGAGAGATACAGAGGGAGAGGGAGCGAGAGAGAGAGAGAGATACAGAGGGAACGAGAGAGAGAGAGATACAGAGGGAGAGAGAGAGAGAAAAGAGAGAAAGACTGAGTGTTGGAGAGAGAACAGAGAGAGAGAGAGAGGAGAGACATGAAGAGAGATACAGAGAGAAAAAGGAAGAGAGGAAGAAAGGAAGAAAGAAAATAGAGAAAGTGAGGGAAAGAGAAAGAATTGAGATAGAAAGAGATAAAAAGAGAATGGGAGAGAGAAAATAGAGACAGAGGAGAGAAACAGAGTGAGGGAGAGAAAGGAGAAAAGAGAGAGAGGATGAGAGAGAAGTTCATTGATGTTCTGTCAGTCTGATCAGCTTTAATGTGTTTGAAGTGTCAAACAGCCACATTATTCCTGCATTAAGACTGACAATGATACAACATCACGATACCTGACGACATTCTCAGATACGCGGTTGATCACCTTAATTAGTTTATCACCAGCGAGAGGGCGGAGCTACACTTACACACAGATAACTTTCACTTCAGTGATTCTGTATTGCAAAAACAAACTATTTATGAAGAAAAAGGAGGAAATATCACATAACTGTAAAATAAAGGGGCAGAATTAGATGATGTCATAAGTGTGTGTCCTCCGTGTCTCCTATCTTCACCAGCACTCATTAGGACAACACACACACACACACACACACACACACACACTCACTGAGCTTGGGCTAAAAGAAGCCCCCCTCCAGGGCGTCTGTGTGTGTAAGTGTGTGAGGTGGAGGGCAGTGAGTGACCCTCATTAGTCTCTGTAGAAACGTTCTGCTGAAGGTCATCCACACTTCTCTAACACTCAGAGATACACCAGGTCACACACACACACACACACACACACACACACACACACACAAAGCCTGTCACACATTTGTGGATACACATTCCAGATAACTTCACATTTTAAACAGAATGCTGTTTAATTATTAAAAATAAATAAAAATAATAGTAATAATAATATTAGTAGTAATAAGCCTGGAGTACAGTATATACAACATATGCCGTAACTTACGCACACGCCACACTGAATGCTTTATTTTTTCTCCAACAGGTTAAATTCAGCAGTACTTGTGTATTAAAATGTGCAGTAGTGCGTCTCTGTAGAGGACGTGTTCACTCATTCACATCTAGAAAATCATCAAAAACATGGGCCAGGGGTGCACAAACATTAGCATATTATGTAAATGAGGCTGTTCTGACTGGCTGGCTTGTATTGCGCCTCATTCAAGACGTCTGGGCTGAAACATGTCCATGTAAGGAACTCTGGGTCTGCTGCGTTAACCGAAATGATCTGAAGCCGGAGCGTTTTGTCCTGGTCACAGTGTCACTACTATACTCTGAATTTAAGAGGGCGCTAGTGAGTCGAAATCTGAACAGTGGTACGTACATGCTACAAGAGCGCTAACCAACACCGGCTACTCAAACTGCAGCATAATGGCGACACGACCCTTTTCAAAAAGGTTCTATATAGAACCATATAAAGTCTGAAGAACCCTTTCACGATGCAGTAAACGCTTTAATCATGCAAAGGGTTCATTGAGTGTTCATGGTTCCATACAGAACCATTGTCTTTACTGAAGAACCCTTGATCTTTTTTAAGAGTGTAGCCCTTCTCCTCTGTGACGGCACCTTATTATCTTTATTTAATTTTTATTTTGATTTATAATTATCCTCATTTTTATTTGAAGTTTTATTTAATTTTTTTTCTTTCAAAATCTGTTAATCATGTTTTAACCACGTTTTTGATGTCTTTTCTCCTTCACTTTACGTTTTTCTATTCGTTACTTTACTTTTTAAACGACTTTGTACTTTATCATTTGTAAAGCACTTTGAATGACAGCAGTGCATGAAAGGCACTGGCTAAATAAACTTGCCTTAACGACCTCAAAGTTCAAGAAAAGCAACAACACGTCGTTTGACCAGGGGTGCACAAACTTTTGCACAGCCGCCGATTTAGCATCGAATGACTTCGATGGGAATGTTTTGATACTCAATAGTATTTGATGTAGTATAGAAGTACTGAGTCTGGTTATCCATCCGTAATCGTGATGTTTTGTTCGTGCCGTTGTTGCTCAGGCTCCACTTCGGAGACGGTTCGGTCGGCGCTGCCTCGCTCATTTAACGTCTGCTCACTTTACATCCATTTCAGATGAAGTTAGATGTATGTGTGTGTGTGTATCATGTGCGTGCATGCGTGCACAGGGTCAGCAGTAACCAGCTGTGTGGCCAGATGTGACCCCCCCAACCACACACACACACACACACACACACACACACACACTACACTGCACTTGCTGCCGTTGCTGGTTGCTTTCAGCATGTCAGAGACACACACTGTCATCTCCACCCCCCCCACTCACTCTGCCGGCGGTCAGGCTGTCACCAGGCCGTGTGTGTGTGTGTGTGTGTAGATGTGATGTGACGGCTGGCGCTCGGCCGCTCCCTGCAGCTTCACACGCGCTAATCAGAGCTGACGGACGCTCCGCTGCTCTCTCGCTGCCACACACACACACATGCGGAGGGTGGAGGGATGAAGCGCCTCATCAGGACCACCACCAGATCACTTCCCCTCTCAGAACATGCATAGAGCGGAAAAGTACAGATTTAATGTGGAAATAAGGAATAATGTCAATAATAATATGTTTTGTGCATGAGACACCTGAAATTCCCCCTTTTTAATAGCTCAGAAACAGGGGAACTCCATTGGTTTTCCAAAATTCCTCCATAATTCAGTGTGTGAGATGTAAACAGAGAGATTCAGAGTGGTTTGGTGTGAAATGGTTCAGATGTCTTTACAGTGGTGGTGATAGGAACCAGGGGTCGCCATGACTACAACACAAATATAGACATTTTATTTACTATCCAGAACCACCAGTGAACCTACACGAGTCTTCTGAGTTTATATGGAATGTTGATGATGGAAAATAGTGGAAAACCTGAATTAATAAGTTTTCTTTGGGGACTATTTTGCCTCACAGCACCTGAATATTATGTATCTCTCCACTATGGATGGATTTTAAGGCCATAATCTTCTCAAAACTATCATAAAACAGTGTCTCAGTCATCAGGCAGTGAATTCATAACCATTTCATGTAGGAACTTTCTGTGAGGGAGCTTTTAGAGGTGGACGTCTGGTTCCTGTCACCACCACTGTGAACAGTTCTGACTCGGTAAGTTTCTCTAGAACAGAGCGTTTCACACCAAACCACTCTGAACCACTCTGAACCACTGTCTTACATCTTACATTGTACATTTCTACTTTACTCCTTAATAACTTTTCCACATTTGATTTTGACTCATCATAGAAAGTGAAAATGTCTTAAATGTAGTGCATGTAACTACTAATTGTTGTGAGAATTTTATTAGATAATTTCTGTAAATTTTTACTTGTTTTAGGTAATTATATGTAGTGATAGTCCATTGGCGGGTCATTTCATTTGTTTCAAGAAATAATATTTGAAGCAAGTAAAATTATCTCCCAGTAGAATGAGACACTTTAATAAGATAAAATTACATGAAACAAGTAAAAATGTATAGAAATATGTGCAACAATCTTATCATTTTCTTACAACAATCTCATAATAAGAAATAGTCAAATTGATTGTATTTAAGATGTTTTTACTACTTAAGATATTATTTTTTGCTGTTATATTTCAAACAAAACAATTATAGGCCCTATATATTAATTTATATATAGGCCATATAACACATTTTATTATTTCATGTGTAATTGTAATATTTTATGCTCATTTATTGCTTATCATCCTCTTTTTGACAACACACAACTACTTTGTGACAAAACTGAGGCTTCACTCATTTTCTGTCCACTGGCTTTTAATTAGAGCTGGGTATCCATACGAGTGATGGAAGTGGATACATTAACCCACTGTGGTCTGAGGTTGTTCTCTCTCGATTTGTTCATCTCTTCTTAAATCCTCCTTTAAAGCTCTTCATATATCATGATCCTCATATGTTTCATATCTAAATGCTCCGTTATCTTCATCACTACTTTCCAAAACCGCTGCAGCAGCTTCAGCAGCTGTAAACTCTCTGCACGCCGTTTCACATGAGTCTCCGATGTGGACTGGACGAAGAATGAAGGGTTTCCGGCGTGATGGTCAGTGCTTAGTGATTTCCTGAGTGTCCATCGGTCAGTTTCACACAGAATGTAGACGGACACACCAATCCACCAGTTCCACACGGTGAGAGGCAGATGACGTGTATCTCAGCCCCTCTTCACAGGCTCATAACTCCGGATGTGAGTCTCGTATGATCTCTTGATAAGATGGAATGGAAAGGGCGACTCTACAGATTCAGGAAGTGTTTGAACTGGATTTCTGAGCTGGATCAACACAAAGATACAGACACAGATATAGAAACAGTGAATTTGACGTACAGGAGAGTTGGTGGACTCCAGAGGGTTAAGAAGCACTGATGTTAATAACATGCATACTGAATGTAATTGAAACCAGCCAATCAGCAGTCTAGACTTTGGCACAAGCATGCCCATTGGCCGACTGATGCTGATGGGACTGACTGCTGATATTTTATAATATATACTGATATATTGATATAATATATATTGATATAAATTTGGTATTGAATTGAATTTTCGATACTCAGTAGTACTGAAGTAATTCAGTGTTGTTTTAAATATTAAAACATTTAATGTTTTAGTATTGAAATATACACACTTGTTTCACACAAGCAGCTCCGGAGCCCCTGTTTAAAGCAGTGGTAATAAAGTGAGGCGCTGTATTTTTCTCAGTCTCCACAGAGATCACTCCTAAAACATCGGCCAGCTGCAGTCCAGCCCCCGAATCCCCTGTCAGTTCGGCTGAGGAGTCTGTTAAAAGTCAGTTGGAGGATCCTTGCGTCCAGCCTGCGGGTCCAGAGTCCAGCGAAGCATCCGAATCCCAGTCGGAAACGCCCCTCCCCCTGCCTGTCCCGGGACACGCTGGCCTTAGCATCCAGGAGATGGTGGCCATGTCAGCAGAGCTGGACACGTACGCCATCACCAAGAGGGTCAAAGAGGTCCTCACTGATAATAACCTCGGTGAGTTAGAGCGTATTGCAGTCACACAGTATTTAACCCCTTAACCTCTTAGGCCGGCTTTACATGGTGAAGCTTTCACGCAACTAGTTGCAGGAAACTTGACAGTTAACCCCTTAACGTCCTGGGCTTATTACAGGCTTATTACTAAGGCTTATTATTCAGTAACTACGGGGACTTCAGTGCAAACTGGTTGAGCTATTCTTAGATTATAGAAGTGTGTAATAAAACCTTGGCCAGATTGATTGAGAATGTATCTGGTTCTATACAGAACCTTTTTGAAAATGGTTCTATGTGGTACCGAAAAGGGTTCTGCCATTGTTACAGTGTCAAGCTTGTGCTTTTTGGTGCTATATAGAACCATATACAGCACACCCTTCATCAACCTGAAGAACGATCTCACCATTCAAGGAGCCAGTTAAGCATGACAGTGGTTCTTTGAGTGTTCATGGTTCTGTAGAACCATTGTCTTTACTGAGGAACCCTTGAAGAACCGTCGAGTGTACAGCATAAACATTGGGTGAATGAGGCCCAAAGAGTGAAAGCGAATATCCAGCAATTTGCATTGTGCAGTTTACATCCTGCTAACTGCTGCCTTCCATTCACTGTTAGCCACATTAGCATGCAAGCTATTATTTTACGCAAGTCTGTTTGTTTTGATTTACTGCTGTGAGACAATTCGATGACGTGGACAGAACCTTTCACAGACGACATCCCTGTTAAGTGAGGCTCAGGGAAGTTTGCTGTGAGCCGTTTGATGATAGGCTCTCGAATAAAAGACAAAACAGTTTATAACTCCGTCTCATAAACAGGGCTCCTTTTAGCGCGCAGCTAAATCGGGTCCGGTGTCATGGAGCGGAGGTGTGCGGGGGTGTTTTGGCGGTAGAGGACGTTTGGAGGAGACGCTGTCCTGTCCTTCAGCGTTTAATGGCCGTTCTCTCTGACCGTCACCGTGTCCCTCTATAATTAATGAGTGTTTAAGTGGCAGTGTCAGACAGGTTCTCTGTCCTTCATGTGGTTTTTATAATCACAAACTCTTCCAGACTTTTTTTCAGCCTTTCTGTCCAAAATAGGCCTGGTTTAGTCTGGGAACTGTCTGCGCCCTGACGATTCATTCGTCATGTGCTGTTTTGCTCGGAGGATGAAATAACTTTGTTGTTCTTTTTGCCTTTTAGGACGTACACATATTTGAAAACAGTCATGCTGTAAGTGATTAGTGCTGTAAGTGGTCGTAGTTTATTTAGAAAGACTTTGCGAGTTTGTGGAAATTTACGACTACAAAGTAGCTAAAGTGACCATTGAGGACGGTGAATCAGTATATTTTGAAGTAATTCCCTTTTATTCCGGTTTAATACTGATAATAAAACAATGTATGGAAGTTTACACGCTTCAGCTACATCCTTAAAACCTCCTTGTTTCTACACTCACTGTCCACTCTGTCAGCTCCACTGACCATATAGTTCCACTCTGTAGTTCTACAGTTACAGACTGTAGTCCATCTGTTTCTCTGCGTGCTTTGTTACCCTGTTCTTCAGTGGTCAGGACCCCCATGGACCCTCACAGAGCAGGTACTATTTGGGTGGTGGATCATTCTCAGCACTGCAGTAACACTGATGTGGTGGTGGTGTGTTAGTGTGTGTTGCGCTGGTCTGAGTGGATCAGACAGTAGTGCTGCTGGAGTTTTTAAACACTGTGTCCACTCGCTGTCCACTCTATTAGACACTCCTACCTTGTCAGTCCACCTTGTAGATGTAAAGTCAGAGACGATAGCTCATCTGCTGCTGCACAGTTTGTGCTGGTCATCCTCTAGTCCTTCATCAGTGGTCACAGGACGCTGCCCACAGGACGCTGTTGGCTGGATATTTTTGGTTGGTGGACTATTCTCAGTCCAGCAGCGACACTGAGGTGTTTAAAACCTCCAGCAGCACTGCTGTGTCTGATCCACTCAGACCAGCGCAACACACACTAACACACCACCACCACGTCAGTGTTACTGCAGTGCTGAGGATGATGAACTGAACTTTGATCTGTTCCAGTGTTACCGTGCCAGTGTATAAATAATCTGATTGGCTGCTGTTCAGTTTGTTTGCGTAACGTTCATAAAGATAATGATATTATTTAGATATTATTAAGATAGAGATATTAAGGCGAGAGCAGTGCAAACAAAGTGAGCATCAGTGGTTTGATTTGTCAGGTATGCGTGTATGTTGTCATCTCTCACCAGAGTTTATTATGACACTGATGTAAATGATCAAATTTCAAAGGAAAAAAGGCAAATAATTTAGCATGATGCCATTGTTCATCACATCTATGCTGCTTAAATGTTTAGCAACCCAACTTAAAACACCTTCAAGCTCATTTCTGAATGAGTATCAGTCAGTCAGTCGGTCAGTCAGTGAGAAACAGCAGCTCAGATTTACGGTAATGTGAAAGTTAAATAACGCCTCAAAGTCTTTTTTCCGCTCTGACTGCTTCAGGTGGAGTCGTACGTCTCTCTGTGTTGTTGTTTTAAATCTGTCCCCGGAGACGCTCGGTTCCTGCGCGGGCAGCGTTGTTGTGTAGGAGTCAGTCTGGGTGAAACGCTGTAAAGCGGAGTGCGTCTCTGAGGGAAAGCTCCCTGTGGAGCCTCAGCCGTGATCACAGCGCTCTGCTGTACGCTCGGGAGTTCTTCACTATAGAAACAGAAAAAAATCCCATTATTCAGCTTTTCCCTGCAGAAATATCCCTCAAATCCACAGAGGGTGAAGAGCTGTTTGTAGGCCGGCTTTTCTTTCAAGGGGCAAAAAGCACCATCAAACCGAGCTGACGTCTTCACGCTGAGGGAGCACGTTGTTTTGATCGGTTCACTTTGTTTACAGTTTTATCGGCTTGAGAAGTGGCCCAAAACTGAGTGTTACATATACAGTCTATTCAGCCTACAGCAGTTTGGCCCTCGCCCATTGACGCTGTCATCATGTTAGGACCTTGTTTTATTTGTGAGAAAAATAAATACGTTTTTGTGTTTTCTGCCCTGATTAACAAAAGTTGACATCTTGCGTATAAAGATTTTTCCCTTAAATGTCGTTGGATATTCTGAATAATGATATCATTTAGGAGTCAAAATATAGAGCTAAGGCTCGTCTTACACGCTGAAACTTTCATGCAACTAGTTTGAAACATCGTAGTTTTGATTGGCCGTTTCATGAAACTTGTTCCACGAAGATGAGACAAGTTCAGCGTTTCAAGTCAGTTGCAGGATGCTTTACGTTATGTAACTCAAGTGCAATTTAGTGTCATGTAGGTTTCAAGCAATAGAAGTTGCATGAAAGTTTCACCATGTAAAGCCAGCCTAACGGCTAACGCTGCTGCGCACTGAACTGACATCATCAGACTGATCTCACCAAAACACCCCACACAAGCCAGCACACTTTGTCCACTGTGGTAGTTTCACACAACGTTGATTCCATTCATTTTGCCCATAGAGAAAAACTGCACATGTAGCTGGAGTTCCATATATGTGCGTGACGCGCAACTATTTAAATGAGGCACAATACAGGGCAGCAAATCAGAACACAGCTCGTTTACATAAATGTGTGTACAAAAGTTTGTGCGCCCCGTTCAAATGACACATCCTCAACACACATCTGTACATTTTAACACACAGTCACTGTTTATTTGCTGAATATAACCTGTTGGGGAAAACATATGTGCAAAAGTTATGATACATTTATGTTTGATGTTTTATTTCCCGATATGTTAAAACATCAACTTTGCACTAAACTTTGCAGAAAAATGCCATGTTTAAGTGTGTTCTGTAGAGGCTGTGTTCACATCAAACATAAACTAAGTTGTGTAGTTTGACCAGGAATGTTCAGATTTATGCATGCGATCATATCAGTCTCAGATCAGCCACTGACAAACAGGTTAACCTCTTAACTGTCGACCTTTTTTCAAGTTTTTGCCTGAAATGGCATCTCAAAACAAAAGGGGGCGCTGTTTCCATATACTTTGGCCTACAGTAGTGATCTTGGCTCAGTGTGAAAGGAAACACTCCCAAGCTTTCAGAATAACTGTCTGAATCACTGACTCAGAGTCACAGAGTCTAGAATGGAGGAGTTTATTTCCTCCTGACTCATAGATCTCTAAACTGATCTCTGACTCTCGCCGTGTTATCAGACCTCATGTTTTGGATTATGGTGTCTCTGTGGAGGCGGTGAGGCTCTGATGGTGAAGACACACAGATTAGCTGGCGTTTGCTCAGTCTGTGCTGTGAATACACACATACACATTTTCTAAGCCGCTTCTCCTTCTGGGTCATGGGGGGAGCTGGTGCTGGACAGGCAGGAAACACCCTGGACAAGTTGCCAGTCCATCATAGGGCAGACAGACATATACATTCACTCACATAGTCACACCTAGGGGCAATATACCGTGTCCAATTGGCCAGACTGCATGTCTTTGGACTGTGGGAGGAAACCCACACAGACACGGGGAGAACATGCAAACCCCACACAGAACGGACTCTGGTCACCTGGCCGGGGAATCGAACCCAGGCGCTTCTTGCTGTGAGGCGACAGCGCTACCCACTGCGCCTGCTGTGAATGATGGATCATAAAACGGTTTGTGGGAATCGAATCCTGAGATTTCAGCCTTTCTACCATATTGCTGGATGATTTGATGCCAAAACTTGATATATAAAAAGCAGTGTATGATGACAGTGTACTGTGTGAGGAGTTTAAACAAGAATAAAAATATTTTTAAAAATTATATGACAGCTACTCTGAAGTGTTTATGTTAAGTGTCGTGTTTGTGTGTGTTATGCAGGTCAGCGTCTGTTTGGTGAGAGAATTCTGGGGCTGACCCAGGGCTCAGTTTCAGACCTGCTGGCCCGACCCAAACCCTGGCACAAGCTCAGTCTGAAGGGCCGAGAACCGTTCGTCCGCATGCAGCTGTGGCTCAACGACCCCAACAGTGTGGACAAGCTGATGGAGATGAAACGACTGGAGAAGAAAGGTACTGAGCAGAGTCTGAATTTCATTACGGGGGTCCTGGTTACAGTTTGGGGGGCCGCTAGGAAGCACTGTGCCTGAGAGACGTCACTGTAGTGAGGTCAACAACGCCAGGCGGCCAACTTCACTCCAGCTTCCATAATCAGAAATATTATTAAACAGGACACACAGCACTTTATTAAGATAATCAGGTGATGCTGATGGAATTTGAGGAGAAATCTGGGACCAAACTTATGATGTTAACTTGTTATAACTACTTTTTTGAAAAAAATCTTGTTACTTTTTACTGTATTTATGTTTATTTGCATTTATTCTAATAATAGATGTTGATTTTACAAACACAAACACACACTTACTGCCCAGATCAGACTTCTGCACAGTACTGTTTTGAGTACAGTCGATGAAAAAGTTTGAGCACATCCACTATGGAGAACACACTTATATTACTTATACTTAAATATACAGTTTTCTGCATGTTTTAGAGCACAATTAACATATCAGACAATAATAAAACGCGCCGCATAAAATATAAAATGCGCTGTGAATTTGCACAGGCTGCATTTTATGTTTTATTTTCCCCAGTGTGTTAAATTCAGCAAATAAACAGTAATTGTGTATTACAATGTGCAGAGGTGTGTTGCCTGTAGAGGACGTGTAAACTTATTCACACTCAGAACATGGAATTTGACCAGGGGTGCCAAAACTTTTGCACTGTAAATAATAAGCTATCAGGTGAAAACAGAGCAAAATAAATTACGTTATTAACCGATTTCACGGTAGTTGATTCCACGTTAGCGTTGCTGTTTTTGTTTGTAGCAAAATACTGTTTGTTTTTGGTTTGAGCTCCAATCAAAACTGCACGTTTTTATGATTTATTAAAGGACTTATTTGCATATTGCAGCCTTTTACAGTATCGATATCGTGGTTAACCAGCGACACATAGCGCAGTGACGTCTGGGGGCGCTAAATAGAATCCTCTCATTAGCGTGATGTGTAGCGGTCCGTTCAGCCCGTTAGCTCGCTATCTGCTGGCTGGACAGAACAAAAGCAACACTTCCCCCTCTCTCTCTCTCTCTCTCTCACTCTCTCTCTCTCACTCTCTCTCTCTCTCTCTCTCTCTCTCACTCTCTCTCTCTCTCTCTCTCACTCTCTCTCTCTCTCTCTCTCTCTCTCTCTCTCTCTCTGCTTTTCTCTCTCACTCTCTCTCTCTCTCTCACTCTCTCTCTCTCTCTCTGCTTTTCTCTCTCACTCTCTCTCTCACTCTCTCTCTCTCTCTCTCTCTCTCTCTCTGTTTTTTCTCTCTCTTTCTCCGGGGAAGAGTGTGAATTTGACCTCAGATTCAGTGGCATGAGGCGAATTAGCCATGCTTAGCCCTTGCTCTGAGAATTTTAGCTGCTAGCCAAATGTCTGACCGATGCCGTTGCTGTAGGCCTTCCACCAGTGAACTGAGAAATACAATGTAATCCCCCCCCCAACCCCCACCCCAAGGCCTTTTATCATTTTTCATAAAGGAGGACTTTTCTAAACAGTAACAGGAATATTCTCTTTACCTTGACATTATAGGAATTAAGTAAAACGTTATGGGATTAGGCCTAGTCCTGACCTACACAGCGTTGTGAATGGAGATGCTCTGTTCTCACATTTAGAGGTGCAGTTTTATATGATTTGTCTTCAGAGACTGCCCCCTACTGGTCTGACTTTATTCTAAAATTTGCCTTGTACTGTACTGCCCTTTTTCAGTGCTTTTCCACTTACTGGCCACTTTATTGGAAACATCCACCTTGTGCTTCTGCTAACTGGCCACTTTATTAGAAACACCTAATTGGCATCCACTCACTGGCCACTTTATTAGAAACCCGACCTTGTGCTTCCACTAACTGGCCACTTTATCAGAAACACCCACCTTGTGGTTGATCAGAAACATCTAATAAAAGTGGAGCTACTAGAGGTGTTTCTAATAAAGTGGTCAGTCAGGGTGTGAGGCTGTGAGTAGAGATCAGAGCCCGACAGTGAATCGCAGGAATAACAACGTGTGTGTGTGTGTGTTTGTGTGTGTGTGTGTGTGTGTGTGTGTGTTCTCCCTTCAGCCTACATGAAGCGACAGCACGGCTCGCTGAGTGAGAGTCCCTCACGTGAAGCCGGAGTGTGTGTGGGTGATTACAGCCGGGCGGTCAGTCCACAGCCCACCGTGCGGGACCACCAGCCCCAGCTGAAGAAGCCCCGCGTGGTTTTAGCTCCAGAGGAGAAGGAGGCGCTGAAGAGAGCGTACCAGCAGAAACCCTACCCGTCCCCCAAAACCATCGAGGAGCTCGCCAATCAGCTCAACCTCAAAACCAGCACCGTCATCAACTGGTTCCACAACTACAGGTACAGCACACCTGCAGGACGAGGACATCACCGTCCACAGCTTTGAGAACGTTCAGGGTCATGTATTATGGTGCATATCATCTCACAGATCGTTACAGCTGTGATTTTATAGACCATAACTCCACTGACAGTGTTCTACTGCTTTATAGACAGTCTCTTCCAAAGCAAAGGGAAAAGCAAAGCAAAAAAATTCTTACACTGCACTCTCAGAAATAAAGGTTCTAAACTGTCACTGGGTCAGTGCCCCTCCTGTCACTGGGGTGGAACCCTCAAGGCTCCATCTCAGTCCCTTTAGTCAGGGAACATAACTGAACCATAATCCACTGAAATGATATGTTCTAAGCTGTACTGACTCCACACACCCCGTCTCGTCTCCAGGCTTTTATTTTACTGTTCTGTTTAAAACATTCGGTTATGAAAAGGTACAAATACGAACTTTTCACCTGGAAACACTTATTTAAGGTTCACAATCAGACCTTAAAACTACTGTTGGAGCTTTGAGGGAACATTTACACTGTTTGTACCTTGATGAACGAAAAATGGACCTGAACAGAACCTTCATTTCTAACAGTGTATGTGTTTTTAATACTGGCAGTTTCTTTCACCAAAAAAGGAGTTCTAGCATCTGAGAATAAAGTGGGCATTTTTTGTGGACACTTCAACCAATCAGATTATGTGGGTGTGGCTTACTGTTGTGTATATATATATATATATATGTACACACACACACTTTATATACACTCTAAAAAAGATGGCTCTTCAAGAGTTCTTTAGTAAAGGCAGTGGTTCTACGCAGACCCATAAACACTCAAAGAACCATTTGCATGGTGAAATGGTTCTTCAGATTGATGGAGAATGTTTAGAACCACATAGAACACATTCTCCATCAATCTGAAGAACCATTTCGCCATGCACATTTGTCTGTATAGAACCATTGTCTTTACTAAGGAAACTAAAGAACCATCTTTTTTAAGAGTATATTAATCATTGTATTAAAAAATGTCAGTACGTACTTCTGGAACTCACAGTTCAGGGGAAATTTTGTGTATTTGGTGTGCCAGTCCTGATCAGTCCTGAGCTTCACTCTGACTTTGTGTTATGTATGTGCAGTATGTTCACACTCATTCACACCTACAGGACTGTGTAAACACGTTAAACACCTGAGAAAATCATGAAAAATTCCACAGAATGTTTAATAACCTGTTTATCTGGCATAACAAGTGTAACAAGAATTATATGTTTAGACATTGAGCTCAGGTGCCTACGACTCCTGGATATGAAAGGGACAGTTCACCCAACTATCCTTAATAAATCATTGTTTTTTCACAGTGTTCTGCAGTCCAACTGTAGTCAGTCTAAACCTTACTGGTGTGCGAAGTTCGCCTCTTTAGTTTTAGTGCTGGGTAAATCTGAACCGAACCATCGCTTTAACGGTTCTCCCGCTGTTGCAGGTCTCGTATCCGGCGGGAGTTGTTTATAGAGGAGATCCAGGCGGCGGTTGGCGGTAAATCCGGGGCGGACGGCGAGAGCAGCTGCGACGGTGCCGAATCAGACAGCAGAGCGTCCGGCCTGGAGGAGCCCAACCCCGATGAACCGGCAGTCAGCGGGCACACGGACGCCCTCTTCACCTTTCCGGAATCCTCCTCGGCTCTGGCTTCCTCCTCGGCTTCCTCCGCCGCTCCTTCGTGTAACCCGAGAGACAGCAGCCTGCGGCGGAAGAAGGCGGCGAACTTGAACAGCATCATCCACCGGCTGGAGAAAGCGGCGAACCGAGACGAGCCGCACGAGTGGGAGTTCTGAGACGGCGGCGGATTCTCCAGGAAAGAAAAGAGCTGCGGCGTTCGCTTTCTTAATAATCATACTGTCGTTTAGTAAAGCACTTACGGCCCTGCTGGCCACAGGGCTTCAACACCATTGGCCCAAAATGGTGCAAAGAGAACTTAAGCGAGCTTAAACGCGCTTAACTCCCATCCAAACTGGTGACAGCCAGGCTAAAGCAGAGCATATCCAAGAAACGCATGACTCGAGCTCAGATATCGAACTGTTACAGACTGTTTTCTAATCGTTTTGAGGGTGCAGGCCATCGAAAACGGCCTCAAACCAAAAGCACTTGTTAGCAGGAGGTCCTGATTCTCAACCTTCTGCAGCATCTTCACCTCCTGGCTATGCAAACTCCAGCACACCAGGCGTTCCTCCGCAAAGGAACCGGCATTATTTTGAAATTTCAGAAGCTTCTCTCGGAGCAGAGAAGAAAAAAACGAGTAATTTTATAGCAACGGCATTGCCACGAAGAGATTGCACAGTCAGTCGACTCTAAACACGTCTTTCACGATATTCGCGCGTTTTTTTTAGGAAAGCGAGCTGAAAACGATCAAACGATGAACTGTAGTTAGAAATCTTTGTTGATTATAATCCACGTTTTTAACGAATCTCTAGGTGCAGTCATGTTAGGAAACAAAACAAAGTCTTGTGGTAGCTAGTCGGTGTTTAATTTCTAGGTTATCTGGATTGTTGATCGTTTTTACGATGATTTTGTCTGCATAGCTTTAACCGACGTCCTCCGGCTTCCCTTTCTAAGCTTTTTTAAGGGGGATCTTGTTAAATACACTTCATTTTAGGCCAAAATCGACACAATAGTGCAAAAGGATCTGTACAGGACTTTATAATATTATTCTAGATATTTTTAAAAGACAGAAAGCCTGCTTTGTAATCTCTAGTCAATAGAACCGCACGTTAGAACCCTCACGCCAGGGGACAGTGCGGTGAAACAGACGCAGAGAAAGTGAGATTTTTTGCTGGATTTATGAAATGCAGCAGCGTTTGGAGGCATCGCGACCTTTAACCTTCAGGTTCTTCACTACATCATTGTACGCTCACCTTTACAAACGACATCAGTTCCTCATAAAAAGAGGGTTCTTTAGTAAAGAAAATGGTTCTATATGGAACCATGAAGGCTCAGAGAACCCTTTGCAACAAACTGGAACAAGCCTGACATTCTGACAATAGAAAAACCCTTTTTGGTGCATCTACATCATGTTCTCCATCAAGCTGAAGAACCCTTTCACGATGCAAAGAACCCTTTAATCATGGAAGGGGGTTCTTCGAATGTTCATGGTTCTATATAGAACCATTTTCTTTACCAAAGAACCCTCGAAGAACCATCATTTTTAAGCGTGTACCTTGTGCTTCCACTCACAGGACACTATCAGAAACTTTATCATGATTAAAGGGTTCTTTGCATCACCAAATGGTTCTTCAGATTAATGGAGAACGTGCTGTACACTCTTAAAAAGGATACTTCAAAGGTTCTTTAGTAAATAAAAAGGTTCTATATAGAACCATGAACATTTAAAGAATTAAAGGGTTCTTTACATCACAAAAAGGTTCTTTAGATCGATGGAAATTGTGTTGTAGATGGTTCTATATAGCACCAAAAAGGGTTCTTTTATTGTTAAGATGTCAAGTTTGTTACAATAGCAGAACCCTGTTTGGTGCTATATAGAACCCTATACAACACATTCTCCATCAATCTGAAGAACCATTTCGCCGTGCAGAGAAAGTTTAGGCTTGCAAATGGTTCTTTGAGTGTTTATGGTTCTATATGGAGCCATTTTCTGTACTAAAGAACCCTTAAAGAACCGTCTATTTTAAGAGTTTATAACACTACAGCCACAAATATGCTACAGTTACAGCCAGAACATCGTCCACATTCTGTGCATGTTTTTGTTTAATTGACACATTTAATTACTTTCTGTGGACCTTACTGACCACAGTACTGTGCAAAAGTCAGAGACCCCCTTTGTTTATTTAATTTCCAGTTAAAATGGACATTAAAAGAACAAGTAATTCATTTTTCAGAGTCAGGAAATACATTTATAACAGAAAATCACACAGAAGCCTCAGCAGCTAAATCTACTCTGAACTGTGAGAGTCAGTGAGTCACTCTTCACCTTCATTCCAGCTTCCATTCTTTCCAGGAGCCTCACTTTCAGCTCCTCAAAGAATCTGCAGACACACCTCCAAAGTTCAGTCTTAGAAGCTGGTTGATCATTTTCTGCAGTAATCAAACACATTCAGTGGTGTTGAGGTCTGGACTCTGGGGTGGTCAGTCCGTCGTTCAGCTTCTTTGTTTGATGTGTCCGTCTCCTTTTCTCAGTGAGGTTCTTCTTGACAGCTACACATCCTTTCTTTAGTAAATAAAAAGGTTCTATAAAAAGGTTCTACACATCCTTTCAGACCCACAGCGCTGAGTCGTCTTCTCACAGTGGAAGGATGGACAGAAACACCTGTGGATGTTTTCAGATCTGAAGCAGCTTGATTTTCTCCTCTCTCTCAGAGATGAAAGCTTTAAGTGCTGTTTATCTGATGGGGGCAGTTTTGGGGTCAACCGAGTCTTCCAGGTGGTTGTTTGGAGAACCAATTTCTCCAGTTTTGGAAATTATCACATCTAATCTCCTCAGAAATGTCCTTTGAGAAATGAATTACTTGTATTTGATGGCCATTTTGACAGGAAAGTAAATAGATGAAGGAGGGTCTCTGACTTTTGCACAGTACTGTATATTTAAACTATGCGATTCAAATAAGAGAAAAGTAGAGATTTAAAAAAAATTGTTTGATCATTAAAGGAGCCAATTTCTAACAACGATTCATTTTTTATGATTGTTTAGGAAATGATTCATTTTGATGATTCATTTAGAATCTACAGAAGTCCAGAGAGGCCATGAGGTGGCAGTAATTTTCTGGATATGTTATCTTGAGTTCACAAGATAAAATCTTTTGTTATCTCATGATCACAAGATAATTAAGTCATGATCTCATGTTAACAAATAATGTTATCTCGAGATCACATTAAGTTGTGATCTCAAGATAACAATCCAGAGGATTATAACTACCTCTTGGCCTCTCTGGACTTCTGTAAGAATCAGCTCAGTTTGATTATGTTGGTACGATTCAGAATTATTATTAAAAACACTATTTATGGTTTACAAAGTGTGAAATATAGAGAATAAAAGTTTTTCTTTTTGTTTTTTGAGGGATATTTTTACAAATGAAAGTAGCCTGGAATTTCATTTTATTTCACTCTATAAATAAATATTATAATGAATTATGTCAACATTCCCAAACAGTTGCAGGACCTTCAAACACACTTTTATACCCCGTTAATTAGAAATTAATCTCTGAATTGTGGCAAAACAGGTCAAACGCCGGTCAACACGGGTCAAAAGAGTTTATTTCGTCTCGTATTTGGGATCAATACGGCGCTCAGTCACTCTGTTGTTTGTTCCAGCTGCCACTGCCGTCCTCTAGTGTCCACACGCGTGCACTACAGCTGATTTTGTATGTGATTTTTTTTGTTTTTTAAAGTGGATGGACGATGCTTTTCATTTTTCCGTGTCCATGAGACTCTGGAAGTGTCAGCGTGTGTCCGTATCCCAAATTAGTGAATTATTAGCATATTATTAGTACGTTTGCTCACAGCTGGACAAACTCCACCCCTCCTCACAGCCTATCTGCATTTTATTTACGCATTTGAGACAAACTAATATCATTTTTTTTTGTTCGTTGGTGTGGTGTGCTTATTTATAGATGCTGTCTTATACATATTGATGTCTTATTATTTGTGATATATCTATTTTTTTCTTTAACGGAAGGGACTATATAAGGTCAGGTTACATATTATTAGACTAATAGACTGCCGGCAGTATTGGGTTATGTACTTTTGATACATGTCTATTAATGAATTAATCCTGAAGGTTATCGTTATGACTTTTTCGTTGTATTATTGTGTTTAATGAGCTGGACGAACACAGTTACTCTGCGGATGGACACAGGCAGTGCTACGGCTTGAATTATTAAGCATGTAAACATTTTTTTTTCCTGCAAGTAATAATTCAAAAGGATGCAAATGTTCTAAGATAACAATGTTACAGTGTGAAGATTATTTTATCATGGAAAAAAAACCTTTTAGTGATTTTTTTTCTCTGCCAATTCACCGTAATCTTCAGTATTACGATGCTTTTGTTCTTCTTCTGCCAGTAATGAAAACCAGACCGTTGTTCTTAGGCTCAGTCAACTTAAAGGAGAAATCCACCGATTTTTCAAAGTGTCTGCATAATTTAGTGGTTAAGATGTAAACAGAGTCATTCAGAGTGGTTTGGTGTGAAACACTCCGTTCTAGAGAAACTGAGTCAGAATTGTTCACAGTGGTGGTGATAGGAACCAGACGTCCACCTCTAAAAGCTCCCTCACAGAAAGTTCCTACATGAAATGGTTATGAATTCACTGCCTGATGACTGAGACACTGTTTTATGATAGTTTTGAGAAGATTTTGGAGTTAAATTCCATCTATGGTGGTGGGATACATAATATGCCGGGCGCTGTGAGGCAAAATAGTCCCCAAAGAAAACTTATTATTTCAGATTTTCCACTATTTTCCATCATCAACATTCCATATAAACTCAGAAGACTCGTGTAGGTTCACTGGTGGTTCTGGATAGTAAATAAAATGTCTATATCTGTGTTGTAGTCATGGCGACCCCTGGTTCCTATCACCACCACTGTAAAGACATCTGAACCATTTCACACCAAACCACTCTGAATCTCTCTGTTTACATATCACACACTGAATTATGGGGGATTTTTCCCTTTAATTGCTCTGAATTGCCAATTTTTTAGAAAACCCTAGTTTGTTTCTATACCTATTGGCCATTTTATCTGAAACACTGGCTGACCTTATAGGTGCACCACAGAGATGTACAGTTGGCGACTATATATTACAGACCATGTCAGTGTCACTGTGGTCAAACTTCACTGACCAATGAAGACAGGAGTGGAGGGTGATGATAGAAACTGTGGAGCAGTTTACAAAATATGGGCTACAGTCTGTAACTGTACACCTGCATAGTGGAGCTATATGGTAGGTGTTTCCGATAAAGTGGCCAGTAAGTATTCGCAGGGGTTTCTAATATCTAGAGAAACTGGATTTTCCATAATTCACTTCTCATAACTGTTGGATTATTTAGAATTATCTTCATTTGTTCTGAAAGTCATGCAAGCTGGAAGCTCTGTTTTCCTTCCTTCGTGGTGTAAAAAGGCCTCTAAAAGCACAGCATGCTATTCAGAACTCCTCCAAACATTCAACCAGACTACAGTATTTGCACTGATTTAAGTCCAGGACTGTTTCTTAATCTCACTCTTTCATCTGGAGTGCCTTCATACGATAGACCCACCATTCAGAACCATTATAATGACCGTTACGCTAAATAATAATATGCACTGTAATGGTGACTGTAGCATAATTAAGTTGTTAAGTTTTAGATGTTAGCCTTG